GGGGCGGGGGGGGGGGGGTAGGGAGCCAATGAAATTGTTCACTAGAGAGAAAAATCCCAGGGCTGGTTGGGATGGCGTCTGAACGGAATGAGAGGGTTTGGGGTCCCTTTTATTCAGCCGGGGTACAGCAGAATGCCACATCCTGGGAAGCCCGGAAGTTTGGAGTTTCAGGGAAGAAGGGTTCAGAACTCTTACCTCCTAATCAGATTTTACCCAGAAAGCTTGAGTCAGACCTGGTTCCACCGCCCTCCTTCCTGTTGAGTCATCCTGGGGAGGTTATTTAACCTTCTATCTTATCCTTATAATATGAGGGTAATAAATATCTCCCTGTTAGGGCTGAAGTGAGAGTCACACGGAATTATATTGTACCAGCTTACCCAGGGGTTCACTGCAGGGGTGTCCTGAGGCCTCCAGCCCCGAGACTTCCCTTTTTCCTTGACATCCCAAGAGACTTCCCTGAGGTCCAGTCCGCAAGGTGTGACTCCTCCCATCTCCCCTCCTTTTGGGCTCTCAGCATTCTTGGGGGAATTTTGTTTGCCTCCTGATGATTTCTCCCTCTGATTTCCTGTCTCTGAAGAATTTTTAAGCCTCTTCTGCATCTTTCCAGCTGTAACTGACCTCCTATGACTCGGCACTCTCCTTCACCTTTAGTTACTAGGAAAAGTATCATTAGTTCAGGTGGTTGTGTTTACTGAAGTTCTGGGCCTAGTTGGGGCTGCTTCAGGAGAGTTTATAACACAGTCCAGAGAACAACCTAAAACTAAGCAATAGGTATGACCCTTCTGTTGTCTCAGCCATTCCACAGGCCATCTCACTAGTCATCTGTATCAGTTAGCTATTGCTGCATAACAAATTACCCCCCAACATAGTGGTAACAATTCTGTGCATTAGCAACTGAGAATCAGTCATGTGGTTCTTCTGGTTTCATCAGAACTCTCATATGGGTCATCAGTTACCAGTGGTCAGTTTGCTGATCCTGGTTGAATTCTCACATGTCCGGGAGCTTGACTGGGATACATTGGTTCTTTTATGTGGTCTTTCAACTTTCAGCAGTTAGTTGATCATATGTCAAGTGAGTGGAAGCATACAAGGTTTCTGAAATGTAGGCTCAGAAATGGCACTCCATTACTTTTACTGCATTCTGTTGGTCAAAGCAACTCTTAGAAGCAATCCAGATTCAAGTAGGGGAAAATAAATATATTTTTGGATGTGAGGAGCTACAAATCCAGATGGCAAAGGGTGTGGATAGAGGGCAGAGTGAAATACTGTATCCATGTTTTTTAATCTCCTGCTCCATCTCTCCCCCTCAGGGTCTCTCCTATTGTCTTATTGTTGGATCGTCAGTCTCTCCTCCTGGACTGTCTGGTTTTAGTTCTTCTTCACTTTCTGCCATAAGGGTGTTGTCATCTGCATATCTGAGGTTATTGATATTTCTCCCAGCAATCTTGATTCCAGCTTAAAAATGGGTAAAACAGGGACTTCCCTAGTGGTCCAGTGGTTAAGAATCCACCTTGTAATGCAGAGGATGCTGGTTTGATCTCTAATCCAGGAAAATCCCACATACCATGAGGCGACTAAGCCTGCATTCTCTAGAGCCTGTGCTCCACACAAGAGAAACCACCACTATGAGAAGGCTCACACCACAACTAGAGTGTAGTCCCTGCTCACTACAACTACAGAAAGCCCACATGCAGCCAAAGAAAGACCCAGTGCAGCCAAAAATAAAATAAATTTTTTTAAATGGACAAAACACACAGGGCAAACATTTCACCAAAAATGATATACAGATGGCAAATAAACAAAAATACAGTCAAATCATTAGCCATTAGGGAAATGCATTTAAAAACCTCAATTGGATACATCTGTGCATCTAATAAAATGGCCAAAGATAAAAATAAAACAACAAAAACAACAAAACTTGCCGATACCACGTGCCAGTGAGGATGCAGAACTGGAAGCTTCAGACATTGTTGTAAATGCAAAATTGCATGTAGCCTCTCGAAAACAATGCAGAAGTTTCTTATAAAGTTAAACATCTTTACCATCTGAGCTAATAATTCCACTTCTATGTATTTTTCCTAGGAAATGAAAACATACATCCACACAAAAACCTATCCATGAAATGTTTATGACAGCCATATTTAAAGCTGCCAGAAACTGGTCACAATGCAGATGTCCTCCAATAAGTAAATGGTTAAACGAACTGTGATATATCCTTATGGTGGAATACTACTCAGAAATGAAAAATAGAAACTACTGAAACACGGAAGAAAAGCTATGACAAACCTAGACAGTGTGTTAAAAAGCAGAGACATCACTTTGCCAATAAATGTCCCTCTAGTCAAGCTATGGTTTTTCCAGTAGTCATGTATGGATGTGAGAGTTGGACCTGAAAGAAGGCTGAACGCTGAAGAACTGATACTTTTGAACTGTGGAGTTGGAGAAAACTCTTGAGAGTCCCTTGGACAGCAAGGAGATCAAACCAGTCAATTCTAAAGGAGATCAACCCTGAATATTCATTGGAAGAACTGATGCTGAAGCTGAAGTTCCAATACTTGGCCACCTGATGCAAAGAGTAAACTCACTGGAAAAGACCCTGACACTGGAAAAATTGAGGGCAGGAGGAGAAGGGGGCAACAGAGGATGAGATGGTTGGATGGCATCACTGACTCAATGGGCATGAGTTTGAGTAAACTCCAGGAGACAGTGAAAAACAGGGAGGCCTGTCATGCTGCAGTCCATGAGGTTCTCAAGGAGTCAGACAAAACTGAGAAGACAATGTGCTGGTAAGGAATGTGGTTTCTGAAGTCAGACCACTTCTCCTCTCTGGCTCAGTTTCCTCATTTGTAAAATGAACATAATTAAAATTATTACTTCATTAATATCTACTTACCTCCAGGATTGTTGTGAGGGTTAAATGTCTTAATGATTGACCTTCAACACAGAGTAGATGTTCAATAAATGGTGGGTACTAAGTAATTGTTTTATTCTTTCAGCACCCCCCCCCCTTTTTTTTTTTACCAAGCATAGTTTTCTTTCTCTTTGGACCAGTTTGTTTCCAAATAAAATATGATGACAATGGATGGGGAAAAGTGGTGGTGCAGTTTCACTGGAGTGTGCTGGGGTTGGGAAGATACAGAAGAGAGCTTGCTTGGGGAATCTCTCAGCTCTAGATTAGTTATGTTAGTCTAGATTAGTCATGTTAGTCTAGATTAGTCTAGATTAGTCATGTTAGTCTAGATTAGTCTAGATTAGTCATTAGTCTAGCTCAAGTCTAGATTGGTCATGGCATTAAGAAAATTCTCTGGCAAAATTGGGAATCTTCTTTCTTTTCCAAGCTGAAGTTTTCTTCAGCCCATTCATTTTAATGGAGGCAACTTCAAACTTGTACAATTACTTGAGGAGTGCATAATTAGCACGTTTAGCTCAGTTCAGATGTCGTGGAGATAATAAATGTGAATGAGGATGCAAGAATCTGCTAGGAGCGTGGACCAGGTCTGAGTGCCAGCCTGGGTGGTGGGGTGCAGTCAACACTCTGAGGGGGTGGTGGGTAGGACCGAGGACATCTTGGAATCACAAAGAGAGTCAGTAGGGCTCTTTGATGTCTAGACCCACATAAAAAAAATCAAGCATATCTAGAGTCACATTGCTGGTGACTGGTAGAGCTCAGACTACAGGCATTTTAACTGTTACTGTGTCCTTCCTTGGGCCAGGCTTGTGTTGGGTCTTCATCTTTACTACTTCAATTGTATCTCTCAGCTTTAGAAAACAGGGAATATTGTCTCCATTTTGCAGCTGGGAAAACTGAGGCTTCAAGAAATTACAATATTACTGCAACTAAACTAAAAGTTAGGTCACCATACAGCTAACCTGTGACAACACAGGACAGTTTAAAACCATTGGAGTGACTTAAAAATTTTTCTATAAAATTTCTATTCCCCTTTTTGAAGAGGCAGAATGAGATTAGCTCCACAGTATGATTTTAGGAAGACCCTAAGAAGAAAAATTTCTTTCCAAAATTTGAAAATCAGAAAACCCAAATCTTGCTTCAGTTTCCTCTCACCTTACTCACTGATATGTGAAAATAAATTAGAGCTTAATTTAAGGTTTTAATTTCTGATACAATGGAATCATTCTTGAAAGAAGCTAAAACTCAACATGACCTGAAAGAGGCAACATAGTATAGGGTAAATGAGCACTGTGATCTCATGTTTCAAAAAACTAATTTAGCTTAAAACTTGGCCAGCCCAGTACAAGTCACATATATGGAAAATTCTGGAAGAAAGGGCACAGACAAGATCTTATTTGCTGGAAAGAAGTCCAAATTATAAAATATTTATAAAATATGCAATTTTATTATTTTCTATATTATACATCAATGTATGTGATATTTTTATGCAAAGTGAGATGGGAAAAAGAAAAGAAAAATCTCAACAGCCTTATTAATGTCTCATAAGCATAAAAAAATTACAAAATAAGTGTGCCATGTAAGTTGAGTGGTTAAGTCTTTAGATGTGGGATTCATACTTTCTGGTTTCATATCCTGGTAGTATCATGTCACTAGTGTGTTACTTTGTGTAAGTTTACTTAACTTCTCTGGACCTATTTCCTTATCAAGAAAATAGTGCTAATGATATATTCCTGATTCACAATGTTGTTTTGAGATCTGAATGAATTAATGCCTTGCTGTCTTCTTCCCGGTGCAGGATTCTCTCTCTCTTTTTTTTTTTTGAAAGGCAAACCCAACCTTTTTTTTATTTCAAGACATCCAAATTGCTCTTGCATACAAAAAAAACAGAAAAAGTTTATCTGGTGGTCACTACATGAATCTTGAAACCAAATTCCTGATTGATGATACTGATATAAGATGGTAGTTATTAATTAATCCATGCCAGCCCACCACAAACTAATTTAACATTGGTAAAAATGATCGTATATACATAAATGAGTCTCTATTAGTACTGATACCTCCTTCTCACTCCCCACAGAATCTGACTTCTAGTTTCAGCCATCTGACGGCTTAAATGTGCTTGGTCTAACAGAGAACTATTCTGATGGTCAAGCAAGATTTTATTTATTTGATGGTAACAACAGAGGCTACAGTTTAGTACTTAGGTCAGCAGTTAATAGTGATCTTCTCTCCAGGAAGAGTGACTAAAAGCAGCTGTGAAAACTGCAAAGAAAACTAGAGACAGGACAAGAGGCAGCGGGAGCCTGGCTGCTGTAAGCTGGCGTGCACCCCTGCATTGCAGCAAGGGCAGGGAAGCCAGGATCACTGACTGCTTTCCTCGGTGACTTGAATTGACAGTTTTTCCCCAACCATCTTGTTACTGGTTGCATTCCACTATATCTAGTTAAATATAAAGAATTAGTCTTCATAAGAAAATCATCTTTTCAGAAGAACTATACACAATACATTAAAAAAATCACTGATTGTGTTTTCTTCGTCTTTTTTTCTTTGAACTTGTAGGTGGTTGAGTCTCCTGTGTTTCTTCTTTGACACCAGATACGGGCTGTTTGAAAACTATTTCATTATCTTTATCATCATCATTCAGTTTGGCCACTTCAGATTTTCGTTTCTCCAAAAATGTTGGTGTACACACTGGTGTGGGACCCCGGCTATCCACAGCCTTCTCGGGAGTCTCGGCGGCGACTGAAGCGGCCTTCTTCTTCTTACGCAAAGCCTGGTACTTTCTGGAGTTTCGAGGACCAGTGTTTGAAGCATTTTCCTCAGTTTTATGTAACACCTTAACAAATGAAGGGAAATCATAATCAATCCCCTTTTTAGCCAATCTCTTTCTGAGTAATTTTTCCTTCTTTTTAAACCGCTCCTCCATCCGTAGCTTTTGAACAAGTGACCGATTCTGATTGTACTGTTTCACTGCTGGATATGATGGCCTTTTAAATGGCATATGCCACTCTCTAAAAAGTTCTTCATGTACCTTTTCAGGTGGTATAAAATGACACTTTAAGAGTCTTTCACCAAAAAGGTAGTTGTTCATTGTTTCAGCAGCTATTTTGGCAACATCTTCAGATTCAAACTCCACAAAGCCGTAGCCTTTGCTATTTCCAGTCTTTATACTCCTGGACAGTCTCAATCTTGTAACAGTGCCAAATTGGGAAAAATACGCTCGGATCTGGGTTTCATAAAGGGATGGTGGTAAGTGGCCCACATAGATTAATTTCACTGCTGGATATGATGGCCTTTTAAATGGTATATGCCACTCTCTAAAAAGTTCTTCATGTACCTTTTCAGGTGGTATAAAATGACACTTCAGGAGCCTTTCACCAAAAAGGTAGCTGTTCATTGTCTCAGCAGTTATTTTAGTAATATCTTCAGACTCAAGCTCCACAAAGCCATAGCCTTTGCTATTTCCAGTCTTTTTTACTCCTGGACAGTCTGAATTTTCTAACAGTGCCAAACTGGAAGAAATATACTCAGATTTGGGTTTCATAAAGTGATGGTGGTAAGCAAACCTGAGCCACCTCCTTTTTAAATTTGGCATCCTCCTGTGGGTTTAGGGACAGGAGTGGCTTAGCTGGGTCATCGAAGGCTGCCGTTCCACCAATTTGTACGCAGATGAGAAATCAACACATTCTATATCCCATTGCCATAGTGATTGGCTAGTACAGTGGTGCTCAAAAGCAATTTTTCATTGCTTGGCAATTGGCAACATCTGGAAGCATTTTTGGTTATCACACTGGAGGAGTGCATGCTGCTGGTATCCAGTGGGTGGAGGCCAGGGATGCTGTTAAAACATCCTACAGTGCACAGGACAACCTTCCACAGCAAAGAGTGATTTGGCCCTAAATGCCAGTGGTACCAACATTGAGGAACCCTAGGCTAGAGGATAAATATGTGACCCAAGTGAAGTCAATACAAAATCAACACCAAGACTAGAAGCTTCTCAACTCTCTGGAATGTACAAGATGGTCTATGATCCTTACACCTATTTTGTTAACACAGAGAAGGAAGATCAGAAGTGGAAGTGGGAAGAGAAGCCAGGTTGAGTACCACGTGGAACCTGGGGATGAAACTGATACTCAGGGAAAAATCTGTAGAGATGAGTACCTCAGTCCAAATGAGGTCAAATGTTGACCTCATTTGAGCCACTAGATCAAATCTCCCCTGAAGCAGATCCTTTTCAGCTTATGAACTGATTGGTTTTTTTCGTTTTAGCTAGCTGGGTAGACTTTTGTGTTACCTGCAACCAAGAGTGCACCAGTTGACAGGGGGAACCAATGAACATTAAAGTTCCCCTTTCCTGGAGGAACCCAGTATAAACACAGCCTTGTCTTGTGCACAGTTATCTGCAAGACATAAAAACCTATTCAAGCTGGAGTACTTATTAAATGATGCACCAGTCTCTCCAAACCCCAAGGAAGCATGAAGTATAGTTGAGATCCGTGCAAAATCAGACTTGGGCACTTAGAAGGTAATTAATAAATACCCACTGATGGCAAAGCTATGGTTTTTGCAGTGGTCATGTATGGATGTGAGAGTTGGACTATAAAGAAGGCTGAGTGCCAAAGAATTCGTGCTTTCAAATTGCGGAGCTGGAGAAGACTTTTGAGAATCCCTCAGACAGCAAGGAGATCAAACAAGTTAATCCTGAAGGAAATCAACACTGAATATTCACTGGAAGGACTGATGCTGAAGTTAAAACTCCAATCCTTTGACCACCTGATTCGAAGAGCTGACTCATTGAAAAAGACCCTGATGCTGGCAAAGATGGAGGACTGGAGGAGAAAGGGGTGACAGAGGATGAGATGGTTGGATGGTCTCACCATTTCGATAGACATGAGTTTGAGCAAACTCCAGGAGATAGTGAAGGACAGGGAAGCCTGGCATGCTGCAGTCCATGGGGTCACAAAGAGTCAGTCAGACACGACTTAGTGACTGAACAACGAACAACATTGATGTCAATGGAATATATGTTCAATTAACTGGAATTTCCATTTGGAAATGAAGTACTCCCTCCAACATCCTGGAACCATTTGAGTGCTCATCTCTAATTCTCCGATAGAATCTGATCCTCCCAAAGAAGACTGCATAGCTCCAGTCTTCTGCTGTTTTCTCATCAGTACCCAGCACCCCAAATTGCCCATCAATATTTCTCCATCTCTCTTGGCCTTAGTAGCTCCACCAAATGATACCTTTCTTGGTGTCCTCATTTTAAAAACATTCTCAAGCAAGAATCATTGGCTCAACTTTAGTCAGGTGGCCACCCCTAGTCCAATCAATGGAGTCATCCATCAAAAGAGGAAGCAAAAGTAGGTCAGCAAGTGAGCCAGATGGTTTGGTCCCAAGATGAGAGCTCAAGTTACCCACCAGGGTTCTTGGCCACCTTCATCAGTAGAATTGATCAGAGGCCAGATAAGAAATTCAGGCAAGGTTTTATTGGGATCCCTGTTGCAGCAGTGGGGAGTGAGAACAAACAACAGGTTCCCTTTACTTGCTCATTTCCCAATAGCAGAGAGGGGCGAGCTGGTTCCTTATATGGGGTAAGTGGGGGCGGGGGGTCCAAGGGTTGAGCTGGAGGGGTGGCTTAGGTGGTACCCAGCCCTCAGGTGGTATTGTGTGCAGGAGGCATGCACAATACCCTGTTCTTGCTCCCAGCTCTTCAGAAGCAGCAGTTGGGGTTTTCTGGTCTTTTTGTATCTTATTGTCCATAATTTGCCCCTTGTATACATACATGCCTGCAAGTATTTTTAGTCCCTTACAGTTTCTTTGTATTTTGTTGCCCCAGGAGAGGTTTGTCTAGGTGCAAGCACTGCAGGAAAGGGTCCCAGGTCCTGTGTCTCGGCCTGTCTCAAAGTTAATGCTGAAGAGACCAAAACCCCACACTACCAGCACCCCTCCTTACCTAGACACACAACAATAACACTGAGTGTTAACTATTCCTTTATTAGGTGGTGAGGGAACAGGGGGCTGTACAATGCAAGGCCTGGGGACTTAGCTACACAGGGATTGTGACCAGAAGCTATATTACAAAAATAGCCTACAAATACTTCTATTTTGCCCTGGGGCTGGGCCAGAGGAGTACCAGGAAAAAGAGGTGCCAGGCAGGCAGCTCCTTCTCTTCCTGCAGGCCCATTGTTTACAGGGAGACAAAGTAGAATGCACACATCTCCCCTGGTCCTCATATTCCCACCAGCCACCCCACCCTTCCAAGTTCCCAAAGGAAGAAGGCCCACACCCTAGGATGGGGGTGGGGGGAACTGTGGGTGGGCTCTCTGGGCCAGAGGGCAAAGCTCTAGAATAAGTTCCATCTGGAATGCAGTGAAGTAAGGGAGGTGGAGCAGGGAGGAGGCTCCCAAGTCTCACCCGACCCCTAGCCCCGGAGGGTGCGCCCAAGGGTGCCTACTTGGTACACACCAGGGTCGTGTACTCAGTACACAGGAGCCCGGTCATGCCTGTGTACTTGGTACACAGAATCCAGCTTGGCCGAATGGGCCCACAGACTCAGCCCCACGGGGGCACTGGGGGGGTTCGCAGGGGGGCAGAGAGCATCTCCATATATATATTTTGTAAAAAATAATAATAATAATAAGTTTGTTTAAATGAATTTGTTTCTATACAAAATGTAAAAAAAAATAATAATAATTCACTTGTGTCAGAGCAGGAGGAGTGAGAGAGAGAGGCCAGAGAAGGCAAGAAAAGGGGGGAAGAGAGAATGGGGGTAGGGGGGTATTGGCCACAGGATGAGGGTAGAGGCAGGAGGATGTCCTAGACTCACCACAGGACCCAAGGGTGAGGGTCAGCCTGCACCCCTTATAAATAAAGGAAGACTGAAACCCTAGGCTGGTGACCTATCTTGGTCACACTGCAAGGAGAGTGGGGTGCAAGAGAAAACAAGAGACAGAATGAAATGGACTAAAAGGGGAGACAGAGGAATCATGATGGGATGCCCCTTCAGCCTCCCCAAATCCAGGAACTGGGGAGTCCTCAGGCCAACACTTGCCTCTTGGGGGTGACTTCAGGCTGGGGCCCTAGCTGGGTCTGGGCCTGAGCAAGAGCGCCAGGGACAGACAGGGGGAGCGGCTGGGCCGACAGCGACCCAGCAGCTGTGGCCGTGGCCCCGGTGGCAGTGGCCGGGCTGGGCGTGGAGTCAGACCAGTCCGAGAGTGAGGGCGGGGAGGGGCTGGCCCAGTGCTCGGGGGACTCGGGGGATGGGGTCAAGTAAGGGTGCTCGCTGGGGACCCGCAGGAAGCGGGCCTTGGGGGGGCTGCCGTGGGCCCCAGCCACTGCGGGGAACTCCTCGCCGTGTCCTGGGGCGGCCAGGTAGGGCGGGGGCCGCTCCTGGGGGGACACGGGATTCCCGGGGTTCAGCAGCTGGGGCCCCGGGGCCAGCGGCAGCAGGAAGGAGGGGCCTGGAGGGGCGGGTGGGGGCAGCCGGGCCCAGTCGAGGGGTACAGCCACGGGGTTCAACAAGCCCAGGCTGAGCACGCAGCCCCCAGGGGGCTGGCGCCCTAGACCCGCCCGGCCTGCGCCACCCAGCTGCGCCAGAGACACGGCCGTGGCCGTGGCAGCCGCGTAGGGCCCCTCGAGGGGGAAGCCGCCTGGGGACGCGGGGGGGCCGCCAAAGGCCCGCGGGGAGTCCAGCGAGTCCACGGGCGAGAGCGTGACCGAGCTGTCGGCCAAGGGCCCCGGGCAGGCCAGCGTCAGCTTCTTGCCCCGCCCCCGGGTGCCCTGCGGCCCCAACCCCGCCTTCCCCGGGGGCCTCCGGCTCTTCTTGGCCCCGGCCTGCGCCACCTTGAGGCCGGGGAGGAAGGCCCCGGGCGGGCAGAGCAAGGGCCCCAGGCCGTGGGGGCCAGGCGGGCTGCGGGGCCCGCTGGGCTGGTCCAGCAAGCGCACGATGTCCTGGTGCAGCCTTTCCTGGGCCACGTCCCGGGGCAGCCTGTCCAGGTGGTCTGTGATCTCCCGGTTGGCAAAGTGGTCCAGCAGCAGCTTGGCCGCCTCGAAGCTGCCCTCCCGAGCGGCCAGGAACAGTGGAGTCTCTTCCTGTGGGGGCCCGGGAACCCAAAAGATGTCAGGGTCACGAGTCAGGTTAAGTCCTGCCTAACATCACAGAGGCCTCTAGTGTCTGAGGGAAACAGAGCTAAGAGTTCATACTCTGCAGCCAGACAGACCTTGATTGGAATCTCAGTTCTGCCTGGGGGTAAAACTGGGCAAGTTCTTTCCTTAAAGCCCTGTTTATCCAGCACCTATTAAGAAACTTCAGGGCCCAAAGCCAGGGTGAGGTGAGTGAGGCACTCACCTTAGGCACAGAATTTAAGGGGGTGGCGAAAAATTCTGTTATCAAAATAAATGGTATTTAATGCAGTTTTTAAAGTTAAGATTAATGGGAAAAAAAAATCCATAACAAATATAGCATGGAAATTTTAGATAAAGATGGAATCTATCCCTGCATTCTTTTGAACCTCATTTTTCCATTTGTGAAATGAGAGTAATACCACCTTGCAAGGGTTTTCAAACAACAGTTATAATAGCTATCTTTTGTTGAGGATCCACTAAGCACTTTACAAAAGGATTAGCTCACTGAATCCTTGGAAGAAGCGATGAGGTGGGTACTGTTGCTTCTCCATTTCAAAAATGTTAACAGAAGTTCAGAAGAGTTAAGTAACTTGCCCAAGGTCACCAGCAACTGCCATCCACTTCCTCCTCTGATCCACTATTGGAACCTCTTGGGCCCTGATCCCACACCGGAACGCTGGCTACAGGCAGGGTGAGTGTCCCCACTAGCCTCCCCCAGTCTCCTCTCTGCTACCTGTGGCGGCTGTGCCAAGGCTGAAGGTGATCCAAAGGCTGGGGCTCACCTTGCTATCCTGCATGTCCTTGTTGGCTCCGTTTTTGAGCAGAGCCAAGGTGGCCTCCACGTTGTTGACAGCTGCAGCCCAGTGTAAGGCCGATTTTCCTACAGGAAGTGAGGAGAGGTCAAGGTCAGGACCCGGCCCACTAGCTGCCCCTCCCCCACAGGGGGGAACAGGAAGTGTCTAGAATATGGGCTGGGATGGGGGGGAGGGGAGGGGAGGCTTACCAGAGTATCTGAGTACCTGTGTTTGGGTCCACGTGTGCACTTTCCATATTTGGTGTAACTTTCCATATTTGGGGCATATTATGTGGGCCTCACTAAGTTGTACATAGAGCTGTACTGTCCAATGCAACAGCCAGTCACATGTGGTTCTTTAGTTTATATAAATTACAGAAGAAAAAAAAAGAAGTTCCCTGGTAGCCTAGTGTTTAGGATTCCAAGCTTTCATTGCTATGGCCCAGGTCCAATCCCTGGTCAGGGAACTGAGATCCTATAAGCTTCACAGCATGGCAAAAAATAAATAAATTAATTAAATTGGTGTCAAGACAGTTTAATGGGGAAGGGTTAACTTTCTCAACAGATCGTGCTGGGGGGCTTCCCTGGTGGCTCCACAGTAGAGAATCTGCTTGCCAATGCAGGGGACACAGATTTGATCCCTGATCTGGGAGGACCCCACATGCCTCAGAGCAACTAAGCCTGTGTGCCACAACTATTGGGCCTGTGGTCTAGAGCCCAGGAGCCGCAACTACTGATGCCCTTGAGCCTAGAGCCCATGTTCTGCAACAAGAGAAGCCACCACAGGGAGACGCCCACACACTTTAACTAGAGAGGAGCCCCCAGTCATTGCAACTAGAGAAAACCCACACACAGCAACGAAGACCCAGCACAGCCAAAAATAAATAAAATTATTTCTTTAAATGGTGCTGGTACAACTGGATCTCCACATGCAAAAGAACAAAGTTGGACCCCTACGTCACACCATATACAAAAAATAATTCAAAGTGAATCCAATATCTAAATGTAAGAGCTCAAACTATAAAACATTTAGAAAGAAACACAGGAGTAAATTTTCATGAGACCTTGAATTAGGCAAAGGATTCTTAGATATGACACCCAAAACACAAGCAACAATAACAACAAAAATAGATAAACTGGACAAAATCAAGATAAAAAACTTTTGTGCTTGTAAGGACATCATCTAAAAAGTAAAAAAGAAAACCTCTAGGGAAATTCCCTGGCAGTCCAGTGGTTAAGATTCCAAGCTTCCACTGTAGGGGGTGGAGGTTCGATTCCTGGTAGGGGAACTAAGGGACTGCCCGATGGCTCAATGGGTAAAGAATCTGCCTGCAATGCCGGAGACACAGGAGACTCAGGTTCAGTTCCTGGGTTGGGAAGATGCCTTGCAGAAGGGAATGGCAACCCACTCCAGGATTCTTGCCTGGAGAAGTCCGTGGACAGAGGAGCCTGGTAAGCTACAGTCCATGAGGTGGAAAGAGTCAGACATGACTGAGTGACTAACACACATAAGGACATCACCTAGAAAGTAAAAAGAAAACCTACAAGAACTTCCCTGGTGGTCCAATAGCTAAGACTCCAAGTTTCCACTGCACGGAGTTGGGGGTTTGATTACCGGTTGGGAAACTAAGATCCCATATGCCGTGGGGTGCAGTCCCCACTGAAAGAAAACCTACAAATATAATAAACCTACTGTATGTTTGATAAGAGACCTACCTAGAATATATGAAGAACTCTTATAACTCAATCATAAAAAGACAAATAACCCAATTTAAAAATGGGCAAAGAATCTGAATAGACATTTCTCCAAAGATATACAAATGGCTAATAAATTTAGAAAAATGCTCAACATCATTAGCCATCAGGGAAATGCAAATCAAACTACACTGAGATACTAAATCACATCCACTAGGGAGACAGTACAAAAAGACAGAGAAAAACAAGTTGTCAGTCGGGATGTGGTGATATTGGAACCTTTTTTATACACTATTGGTAAGAATGAAAAATAGGGCAGCCACTGTGGAAAACAGTCTGGCAGTTCCTCAAAAAGTTAAAAAGAGTTATCATGTGACCTAGCAATTCTGCCCCTAGGGATACATCCCAGAGAAATAAAACCATGTCCACACAAAAACTGATACATGAATTCCACAGCAGCATTATTCATAATAGCCAAAAGGCAGAAACAACCCAAATGTCCATCAGTGGATGAATGCATAAACAAGATGTGGTGCATTCACATAATAGAGCATTATTTAGTCATTAAAAACAAAAAAGGGGGTTTCTCTGTGTGTTCTAGTGGTCAAGAACCCAGTAGTTAAGAACCCTGCCACACAGGGGACATGGGTTTGGTCTCTGGTCTGGGAGGATCCTGCATATGGTGGAGCAACGAAGCCTGCGCAGCACAGCTACTGAGCCTGTGCTCGAGAGCCCGGGAGCTGCAACTACTGAAGGCCGTGACCCCTGCCGCCCGTGCGCCACAGCAAGAGAAGCCCATGCACTGCAACTAGAGAGTAGCCCCCACTTACCACAACTACAGAAAGCCAGCAATGAAGACCCAGAACAGCCAAAAATAAATAATTCAAAAAAAAAAGAGGGAGTTCCCTGGTGACCTAGTGGTTAGGATTCTGGGCTTTCACTGCTATGGCTGGGGATCATTCCCTGTCAGAGAATTGAGACCCCGTAAACCTTACAGTAAGGCCAAAAAACAAACAAAAAGCAATACTGGTACATGCTATCATGTATATACCTGCTATATGCAGGCTCATGAACCTAGAAAACATCACACTAAGTGAAAGGAGCCAACCAAGAAAGATCACGTATTATGTGATTCCATTTATATAAAGTAGAATACACAAATCCTTATAGAGAGCAAGTACATTGGCAATAGTCTAAGGGCCACGGAAAATGAGGGGGTGTGGAGGGGTGATGGCTAAGAGGCAAAAGCTTCTTTTTCAGGTGATGAAAACATTCTAAAATTTATTGTGACAAAAATAAAATTAAATTTATTGTGATGATATTTACACAACTTTGTGGTTATACTAGGGGGCTCCCCAGGCAGCGCTAGTGGTAAGTGGTAAAGAACCCAGCTGCCAATGCAAGAGACATAAGAGATGTGGGTTGGGAAGGTCCCCGTGGAGGAGAACATGGCAATCCACTTCGGTATTCTTGCCTGGAGGATCCCAAGGACAGAGGAGCCTGGCGGGCTACAGTCCATGGGGTCACAAAGCATCGGACATGACTGAAGCCAACTTAGCACACACACAGGTGGTTATACAAAAAAAAAAAATCACTGGATTTTACACTTGAATGAATTGCATGGTATGTGAATTACATATCAATTCAGCTATTTTTTTTTAACGCAAAGCAAAGGTTAAAATATTCAATGAAATAAAAGACTCAGTTCTTTGTTCGCCCCAGCCACATTTCAAGTGCTCAGTAACTACCATGCATTGCCAATAGCTACCATATCAGACAGCACAGACCAAGAGTATTTCATCATCACAGTTCTACTGGCCAGCGCCCTTCTAGAACCATATTTCTAAAGCAGGGGTGATTTTCCTCTCTGGGGCATTTGGCAATGTCTGGAGATATTTTTGGTTGTCACACCTTGGAGGTGGGGTGCTACTGGGATCTAGTAGGTCAAGACCAAGAACGCTACACTGCACAGGGTGGCCCCCACTGCAAAGGATGATCCAATCCCCCAATGTCAGTGTTGCTGAGATTGAGAACACCTGGCTCCAAAGATGTTTCTGAGAGTCCAAGTGTGTCTGTGGTCATGTGACGTTCTCTAGACACAAGGCAGGTTGCTGTTGGGCAAGCAAGCCACCTCCAAGCAAGAAGTGATCCCCACCCACAGACTGGCTAATTTGCAAACTTTACACCAGTAGTCCAGCAGGTGGCACCAGTGTACGCCCGTATAACAAAGCAGATAGAAAGAAAGTGTCAGAGAACAGCATGCTTGCCTGCTTCCTCCTTCAGTCCTGTCCCACTCTTTGTGAAACCATGGACTGTAGCCCACAAAGCTCCTCTGTCCATGGAATTTTCCAGGCAAGAATACTGTAGTGGGTTGCCATTTCCTACTCCAGGGGATCTTCTTGACCCAGGGATCGAACCCATGTCTCCTGTGTCTCCTGCATCGTCAGGCAAATTCTTTACCACTGAGCCACCTGGGAAGCCCCATGGGGAAAGGCACCTTTTTCTAAATCACTGCAGCACAATATAGGCTAATGGGTGTCATTTTAAAAAAAATAAATGTATGAGAGTGTAAGTCCATGTTGAAACCCTGTTATGAGTGCATGGGTTTCACTGACCAGGTCTCAGTGTGGGTATGAGTTCACACCAAGTTAGGGTCCCGGTGACACTGTCTCAGCCCACACCCACCGCTACCCCCCGCAGCCTACCGAGCTCATCCACAGCATTGACATCAGCGTGGCTGGCAATGAGCTCTTCCACCATGCCCTCCACCGCCAGGCGGGCTGCCAGGATCAGTGCCGTGGAGCCATCTGCCATGCGAGCATCCAGGTCTGTAGAGCGGTTCCGGATGAGAATCTAAGGGAGATGTGGGTGCAGCAGGGGGAGTCATGGCAAGAACAAGGGAACAAGAAGCACCCCCAAGCCCTCTGAGGACCCCAACCAATGCCTCCCATGGAACTGATGCGTTCAGGGAGCAGCTACTTTACAGTAACTCTACACTCATATATCCCCATTTCACAAATGAGAAAGATGAGCTCTGACAGGCAGAACCAGGGCTCAAACCCAAGTCTGTCTGACGTGTGTCCCAGCTCTCAAGTCCCAAGAGGCAAGCCAATCTCACCTGGAAGACGCCCTGGGCATCAGCAGTGACGGCTGTGTGCAGAGGGGTGCGGCCAGAGTGGTCCTGGGCATTGGTGTCTGCCCCAGCATCCAGCAGCCGCTTGGCCGCGTCAGCCCGGGCATAGCGGGCAGCCAGGTGCAGGGCCGTCTCGCCAGTACGGTCAGTCCTAGCCCCAAGCTGTGCCCCCTGGCAGATCAGGTCTGAGATGATACTGGCTGATGTGTCTTCTGCCTCATCCTCTTCAGTTGGGATTGGCTCCAGGGCTCCCCCGCAGAAGGAGGCCAGCATTAGAGGGGTGAAGCCATCTGTAGGGACCAGGAGTGTGTCAGAAAGGAGGCGGACACAGGGCCTTCCCGGGGAATACAACACTGCATTAGGAGGAAGTGCACTGCATTAGGAGGAAGTGGGATGTGTGGAAGTACAAGATCGAGGGGCCAATCCTCCCATCACACACACGCACACTCACACACACACACGCACACACCTGGCACACACACTTGTGCCAGGTACCCCGAAGCCAACCCAGGATGAGGCTTCACAGGCATTTGGTTTGTGACAGGAGGCCTCCTAGGCAGTAGGGCACACAGAACGAGGGAGGAAGTCAAGCAAGTCAACAATGACCACATTCCTGGAGAGTTATTTCAGCCTGAGTTATTTCACTTTGTCAGCAAAGGTCCATCTAGTCAAAGCTATGGATTTTCCAGGAGTCACGTACAGATGGGAAAGTTGGACCATAAAGAAGGCTGAGCACCCAAGAATTGATGCTTTCGAATCATGGTGCTAGAGCAAGGAGATCAAACCAGTCCATCCTAAAGGAAATCAACCCTGAATACTCAGTGGAAGGACTGTTACTGAAGCTGAAGCTCCAATACTTTGACCATCTGATGCGAAGAGCTGATTCACTGGAAAAGACCCTCATGTTGGGAAAGATTGAGGGCAGGAGGAGAAAGGGGCAACAGAGAATGAGATGGTTGGATGGCATCATTGACTCAATGGACATGAATGTGAGCAAACTCCAGGAGACAGTGAAGGAAGGGAAACCCGGTGTGCTGCCATCCATAAAATACCAAGTACCTGGGGGCCTAATGGGAGTCCAAAGAGAGCCACAGGTGCAAGTCATTTGGAATGAAAGCAAAACAGAGCTGCATGAGGCATATTATAAAATGTGGCAAAGACAGACCCAAGAGGATTCACATACCATGGTCTGCTCTACTCTGCAAGAGCATTTGCTCTTGTTTTCCTTAGGAAGCCACTAGCACCCCATTCTCAAGCCCTAAGTAAAGGCAAATCCCCCACGCAGGGACAGGCATATAGCCCAGGCCTGTCAATCTGCATGTTCCAGGCCCCAGGCCACACTGATTGGCTCACACATGGGGCACATGACCTTAGACCATCCAATCAGAACTTATACTTGGAGGACTTCCCTGGTGGCCCAGTGACTAAGAATCTGCTGACCAAGGCAGGGAACCCGGGTTGGATCCCTAATCTGGGAAGATCCCACATGCTGCAGAGCAACTAAGCCCATATGCCACAATTCCTGAGCCTGGGTACCCTAGAGGCGTGCTCCGCAATACGAGAAGCCGCGGCAACGAGAAGCCCCTGCACCACAACTAGAGAAGACCTGTGAACAGCAACAAAGAGCCCACACACTGCAAAAAAGACCCAGTGCAGCTGACAGTTTTTAAAAAATAAATAAATAGCTTTCATTGGCCAAAGATACAATAGTTTGAGCATCAACAAGAATGTGTGCATTAAATTTAAACATAGCAGCTACATTAAAAAAAAAAAAACCTCATCCTGGGACTTTTGCTGTTACAGATGAGAAAAAGGTTTTGTAATGCCAGCAGGAGAAAGACTGCCTGGACTGGAACCAAAAGTTGACAAGTCCAGGATCCAAATGTGCCTGAAGCTTCTGTTTACAAGAGCCAGTAAATAAATCCCTTGTTTTACTTAAGTTAGCTTGAGGTGGNAGTTGGACACAACTGATTGAACTGAACTGAAAACACAGGAAAAGGGAGGAGACTCCCTGGTGGTCCAGTGGTTGGGACTCTGCACTTTCATTACAGAGGGCCACAGTACAATCCCTGGTCAAGGGACTAAGAATCCATAGGCCACCCAGTGTGGCCAAGAAAAACAGAGGTAGGGGAGAGGCAGCTAAGCATGGAAGTATATATCAATAGCTGCTTTATAGCATCCTCACAAAGATGAAATAAGAGGCTTTGTGTACATCCCCGACATTCAGCAAGCTTCAAAGTATGCTAGCAGGAACCTGTTATGAATTGTGCTACCCCCAAATCATATGACATCACTTTGCCAACAAAGGTTTATCTAGTCAAAGTTATGGTTTTTCCAGGAGTCTTGTACGGATGTGAGAGCAGGACTATAAAGAAAGCTTTGCACCAAAGAACTGATGCTTTTGAACTGTGGTGTTGGAGAAGACTCTTGAGAGTCCCTTGGACTGCAAGAAGATCAAACCAATCAATCCTTAAGGAAGTCAACCCTGAATATTCATCAGAAGGACTGGTGCTAAAGCTGAAGTTCCAATACTTTGGCCACCTGATTCGAAGAGCTGACTCATTAGAAAAGACCCTGATGCTGAGAAAGATTGAAGACAGGAGAAGGGGGCAACAGAGGATGAGATGGTTGGATGGCATCACCAACTCAACGGACATGAGTTTGAGCAAACTCAGTGAGATGGTGAAGGACAGGGAAGCCTGGCATGCTGCAGTCCATGGGGTGGCAAAGAGTCAGACACAACTTAGCGACTGAACAACAACAAAAATCATATGATGAAGGCCTAATCCCCCTACATGACTATATTTAGAGACGGAGCTTTTAAGGAAGTAATTAAGGTTAAATAAGATCATAGGGGTGGAGCCCTAATCCAATAGGACCAGTGGAAGAGGAAGAGACACCAGAGTTCTCCCTCATTCTCAGCACACAAAGAGGAAAGGTCATGTGAGGACACAGTGAGAAGACACATTCTCAAGATAAGAAGAGCCAATCCTGCCAGCACACTGATCCTGGACTTACAGCCTCCAGTGTGTATCTGTGCCTGCTAAGTTGACTCAGTCGTGTCCGACTCTATGCGACCCTATGGACTATAGCCCACCAGGCTCCTTTGTCCATGTGATTCTCCAGGAGAGAATACTGGAGTGGGTTGCCATGCCCTCCTCCAGGGGATCTTCCTGACCCAGGGATTGGACTCACATCTCCTGCCTTTCCTGCACTAGCAGCCAGGTTCTTTATACCATCAGCGCCTCCTGGGAAGCCCCAGCCTCCAGAGGTGTGAGAAAATAAGTGTCTTGTTTGAGCCACTCAGTCTGCAGTGTTTCATTATGGCAATGCTCGCTGACAAAGACAGGGCCCATGGTGTGGCCCCTGGACAGGAAAAGACTAGCTGGGGGTGTTCTCAGGCAGGGCACGCTGGACTAAGGTGGCCGCATCAGAGAGAATGCAGAGTCACTCTCTGGGACAGGGGATCCCCTCTGGAAAGATGCCAGGAGCAGGATGGGGTGGTTGCCATGACTGTTCTCTGGAACCAGGGACAGCGGGGATTCCCCTGGCTCTCCCACTGACCACTGGACCCCCACCCAGGACCCTGAGGGCAAGGGTCACAGGAGGGAACACAACCTTCAGTCGCTTGGCCTCTGGGCACTCTGTGTCCATCCAGTCGGTGGCCACCTCCCCCATCAGACTCTCACCCTTGGCCATGTTCCTGTGGGGACAGTGGGGAGGGGGGAGGGACAACGGGGTCAGCAGGGGCAGGGCCCACAGGGTCAAGAGACAGAGTCTAAGGACGGGATGCAGGATGCGGTCAGGGTTGCAGGGGATACTCTCAGGGGTTGTGATGGGTGACAGTCAGGTGGAACTGGGGAAGGGACAGGAGTCAGCGGTCAGAGCAGTTGTCTGTGGGACAGGTGAGGGTCATAGGCATACAGCATGGGTTACAGCAGATGACATCATAGTCATGGAAGACAGAGTTATCCTCATAGCAGGTGAGAGATGTAGCCAGGAATGAAGAGGTTGTGGAGAGGCAGCAGAGGGCACAGGGTCACAGGAGAGGTAAATTCAGGGATTAGGACAGGGTGTGGCTGGAGTCTTGAGGGGCCTGTCAGGGAGGTGGAGGTCATGGCCAAGGCCAGGACTGAGGATCCTGGGGAATGAGCACTGAGTTGGGGTGGAAAGGCGGTGAGAAGTCAGCAAGAGTCAGGGTAGGTTATTCTTGAGGCTTTCAATGGCTAAGTCAAAGATCTCTCGGTAAATGTCACAGTGCACTTGCAAATATGTGGGTTATTTTAAAATTTCTTTTGATATTGATTTCTAACATGATTCCACAGTGATAAGAGAACAGACTCCATATGATTTCAATACCTTTAGACCATGACATTTTTGCACCTTGTTTTATGACCCTGAGTATGGGCCAGTATCTCCTGGTTTATAGTCTATGGGAACTTGAAGGTTTTGTTCCCTGCTGTTGTGTGAAAATTGTATAATCTTAATTATGTTGAATTGGCTCATACTGCTTTTCAGGTCTACCATATCCCTCTACTTTTCTGTCTGTTCATTCTGTTAATTTTTTGAGTTTGATATTGAAACTCCAATGAAAAAATCTTAATTTATCTACTTAAAAAATAATTGTAACATACAGTGGAACTATATGTAACTTTCTTCTGTATTTTCCAAGTCTCCTATAAATGTGCTATCATACTCTCATAAATTAAAAAATTAAAAATTAAAACAACAAAAAAAGTCAGGGTAGGTTAGAGCCAGAAGTGGTGCTGGGGCTCATAGAGGATAGGATCAGGGGGTCCAGTGAGGGCTTGGGGTGCAGACAGGGGTCATGAGGTGCACAGTCATGCGGGAACACGTTCTGAGTATCAGGGTGAAGTCTGAGAGGCTGGGATGGGGGGAGCGGGTAGTCACAGTAGGGTCTGAGTCAGGGCACTGGGCCATAGGAAAGGGGATCGAGGGCCACAAATCAGGGTGACCTCCTGAGGGATCATGGAGTCGGTGGTCAAGGAGACAAACACTGATGTCCAGGCCGGAGTCTGAAGTTAGGGTCAGGTAGGGGTCAGAGGTCAGAGTCAGGTGAAGGTGGGCTCAAGGGCTCATCAGACCCGGCCACAGTCAGGGACGGGGTGAGGGATCGGGTAGGGTCCTCACTTCATGCCCAGTGCGTCTTGGCCCACGGGTTCCCGCCGGCCCTTGTGTCCCGCGGCCACATCCTTGTGCAGCGCGAAGCCCTCGGGGAACCAGAGGGTGCTGTGCTCACGCTTGCGGCGGGCCACCATGACGCCGAGGACCAGGAGGACCAACAGGAAGATGCCGCTGGCCGCCAGCAGCGGTAACAGCGGCACGCTTGGTTCCGGCAGCTCCACCGGCTCCCCTGCGGGCAGGAAGCAGGGGGTCTTTTTACCAGGGGCCTGGGCCCACCCTCATCCCCTGACCCCCGGCCGGGCCTCACCCCGCGCCGCCCGCAGTGGGTAGGGGAAGTCAAGGCGCTCCACCGCCGACAACGCTCCCAAATAGTCCGCCGCGCTCTGAGCGTCAGGGAAACAGTGGTCATTCTCGGGCGACTGCAGGCACAGACGGTTGTCAATCTCCAGCATCACTACAGAGCTGCGGAGACACAGGGGAGGGGCAGGAGGCTCAGCAGGCACTGCTACAAGCCCCGCCCCAGGCCCCGCCCACCGCCCCACGCCGCGCTCAGAAGCGCCTCTCTACTCACCAGGTCCCCACTAACTCCCATCCGGCATCCAATCCCACCACATCCCCTCAAACTACCTTTTTTAAAATCCACTCACCATATATTTGCTGATATTAAGGATGTTTATTTTTTTTAGCTGTGGTCATGGTATTACAGTGTTTTTAAGAAGAGAGCTTATATTTTTTTTAGAGAAGCATACTGAAATGTCTACATATGAAGTGACACGCTATCTAGGAACTATTTTCACATAGCATGGGAACTAGGACAAATCGAAGGGACTAGATATGAAACAGGAATGGCCTATGGGGGACTGCCCTCATAATCCAATGGCTAAGACTCCCAGCACCAAGTGCAGGGGGCCTGGGTTCAGTTCCTGGTCACAGCACTAGATCCCACATGCCACAACTAAAGACCCTACAAAGACGACCAAAGATCCCATGAGCCACAACTAAGACCCAGTGAAGCCAAATATAAATATATATATATATAAAGAATGGCCATACGTACTCATTGTCAATGCTTGGTCCTAGGTACCTAGAAGTGCACAATCCTGATCTGTTTTTGCATATGCTTAAAGTTCTTTGCCAATTCCCAAGCCAGTATTGCTGTGGCCACCAATGTCCTCTAAGTCATGAATCCAATGGCCATTGTTTTCCCATCAAAATCTCCTTTCTCAGGCTGGTGCATCCACCTCCTGCCTGCTATGAGCACTGGCTTCTAAGGGACAGTTGACAGCTGTCCCTTCCCCCAGAGAACTAGCCTCAGCAAAGTGGGTAGCCCTTCCCTTGGGAGGTGACACTACTTAGGGAAGCCCTAGGCCAGGGACCGACTGATATGTACAAAAGCTGGCCCTTCTGTCTCAAGGCGGGACCAACCTTACCCTCCAGAGCCCTCCAAGGGATCAGGCTGCGGCCCGATCCTGGCCGAGGCTCCCTCCTGCCTCAGTTCCTCCCCCTGTCCCATCCTGCCTCCCTCATCCCCGATCAACCCAGAACACCCTTTCAATACATTGCCTATATCTGAATCTCCACCTCAGGCTCTGCTTCCAGGAACCCAACCCTCCAAACATTTTCTTTCTTCAGGATACCCAGTACCCCAAGTCCTGAGCCCCCTTCCGTCTCTGCTCCTTCCGCTTCTCTTTTCTGAGCTAATTTCTTTCAACCAATCTTTAGGACTCAGGGTCCCCATTTCATCCTTCTGTTCCCCACACGTCTCTACTTCTTCAAGTCCCTCCAAGGCTACAATGATTGCCAAGCTCGTTGGTCTCACTCTTCAGACCCTAGCTGCCTCCTGAGGGTCTCCCCGAGACCCTCAGTTCCCTCCAGACTCTACAAGTCACAAAGTGACCCCGAATTTCCACCTGATGTCTTAACCTTTTTTAAAAGAGATTTTTAAAATTTATTTATTTTTGGCTGTGCAGAGTCTTCATTGCTCCACGAACTTTTCTCTAGTTCTGGACAGGAGGGGCTACGCTCGTTGCAGTGCGCGGGCTTCTCACCGCGCTGACTTCTCTTGCTGCAGGGCACTGGCTCTAGGGGACGTAGGCTCAGCAGTTGCGGTTCCTGGGCTCTAGAGCACAAGCTCAGCAGCTGTGGTGCACGAGCTGAGTCCCTCCACCGCTGGTGGGAGCTTCCCAACACAGGGATCGAACCGATGTCTCTTTGCATTGGCAGGTAGATTCTTTACCACTAAGCTGCCAGGGAAGCCCTGTGTCTTCCTCTCGATGAGAACACTTCCAGCAACTCAGTCACCCGGCCAAGGACTGGCACACCACCCATCCACCCATCTCCTTCATCCCAGTCAGAGGTCCTGATCCTCACCTCTAACTTCCAGCCCTCCTCTCTGTGTCAGGGTCCTACCCTGTTCAGAAGCCACATCTCCCTCTGGTTCCTCCACCAGGTCACCAGCAGGAGAGTTTTATATTTTCCATTTATATTAATTTTGGACAGTTTGATACTGAAACTCCAACTAAAAATCATAATTTATCTACTTAAAAATGATCATAATATACACATTCATGTTAAGTGGCTTCATTCATGTCCAACTCTTTGCAACCCCAATGAACTGTAGCCCGCCAGGCTCCTTTGTCCATGGAATTCTCCATGCAAGAATACCGGAGTGGGTTGACATGCCCTGCTATAGGGGATCTTCCTGACCCAGGGATCAAACCCACGTCTCTTACCTCTCCTGCACTGGCAAGAGGGTTCTTTACCACTAGCACTGACTGGAAAGCCCATAATATATAATGGAACTACATGTAACTTTGTTTTTTATTTTTACAAGTCTCCTATATGCTTCCCTTGTGGCTCAGCTGGTAAAGAATCTGCCTGCAATGCAGGAGACCTGGGTTCAATCCCTGCATTATGTTGGGAAGATCCTCTGGAGAAGGGGAAAGCTACCCACTCCAGTATTCTGGCCTGGAGAATTCCATGGACTGTATAGTCCATGAGGTCGCAAAAAGCCAGACACGACTGAGCGACTTTTACTTCACTATAAATTTTATAAGTTAAAAAATAAATTAAAACAAAAAACAGGGCAAGTTAAAGCCAGAGGTGGTACTGGAGCTCATAGCGCATAGGATCAGGGGGTTCAGTGAGAGGCTGGGGTGCAGACACGGGTCAGGAGGGGGGCTCTTCTTCTGCTCCCCAGAGGACCATTGCCCATGTCTGGAGGCATTTCTGGTTGTCACATCTGGGAGGGGGGAGATCTGTTGCCTGCATCCAGTGAGTAAAGGCCAGGGAAGATGCCAAACACCCTACAGTGTACAAGACAGAACAGCACCTCACAGTAAAGAATGATCTGGCCCCAAGTCAATGGTGCTGAGGTTGAGATGTGTGTATTATATGTATTATATAACACTGTATGTACTACCAAGAAGGCACTCCCACATGTTGAGTATTTCCTAAGCAGTGAAATCAATGAAAACATAACTGGACTAAAGGCCTAACCCGGAGCCTGAAACCTACTAGGTGCTTTATCAGATATTTCCGGAGTAAAGCCAAGTTCAGCCACAGAGTTTTAGAGTTTGAAGGGAACTTAAAAATAGCTAGAATAGGGGTTCCCATATGGTAAGGGAAGTAAAACGCACAAGGGGTTTGGCTTCCCTGGTAGCTCAGCTGGTAAAGAATCTGCCTGCAATGTGGGAGATGTGGGTTCCATCCCTGGGTTGGGAAGATCCCTGGGAGGAGGGCATGGCAACCCACTCCAGTATTCTTGCCTGGAAAATCCCCATGGACAGAGGAGCCTGGCGGGTTACAGTCCATGGGACCGCAAAGAGTCAGACACGACTGAGAGACTAAGCACAGCAAAGGCACAAGGCCTTATGAATGGTGCCCCTTCCCTTGCATCTGCGTGGGCCCCCCACGGCTCCCCTCGGGGTGGAGTCACTCACCCGATCACCTCGGGGGCCAGCTCCCGCCGGTTCCGGGACTCAGCGCCAGGCCCGGGCCGATGGTAAGGGAAGACCATGGCCTGACCGTTCTCGTCCAGACGGAAGCGCAGCGAGGTGCGCAGGATGCCGCTGAGCCGCTGCAGGAAGTCGGCGCTGGAGCGCAGCAGCTCCTCCGGCGGCAGCAGCACTGTGAGCACCAGGACGCCGCGGGCCAGCAGGGCCGGCACCTCACCCGCACAGTCCAGGCCGTCCCAGCCGCACTCCTCCGTGTTACAGCCCTGGTCGCAGCGGCCGTCAGCGAAGTGGTCCGCGCAGTACTTCTCATACACTGGGCTGGGGGCGAAGGAGGGCGGGGTCAAGGGAGCCTCCCCCCAACCCCTAACCCCACACGTCCCCACCTTGCCCCCCCGCTGCACGAATACACCACAAAGCACCCAAGACTCCTCAAGGAGCAGAGAACTGGAATATATCCACATGCTTGTGGAATGTATCAGGCTTTCTGCAAAACCAGCCAGTTGCTTTGCAATTATTAAGTCATTAACTATTGACAACCACGTCCTAGGTGCTGAGCGCAGCTGTAGGCACTAAGGATATGAGTGAGGTGAAAACGTTAGTCACTCAGTCTTTGAGACCCCATGGATGGTGGTCCGCCAGGCTCCTCTGTCCGTGGAATTCTCCAGGCAGGAATACAGAAGTGAGTAGCCTTTCCCTTTTCCAGGGGATCTTTCCAACCCAGGGATCAAACCCAGGTCTCCTGCATTGCAGGCAGATTCTTTACCGACTGAGCTACCAGGGAAGTCCACTAAGGATATGGCCCCAACACAAAACCTTACCCACTTGAAGCTGTCATTACAATGGGCAGAGACATATATTAAAAATGATGAATCAGCAGAATATACAGTGTTTTGATCACACACCAATAAAGGCTAAATGCAAACATACACATACACACACACGAATTAAATGCTAAGGGAAAAAATTAAGCAGAGGAAGTGCTGTGGGTGGCCAGAAAGGAGTTCACAGAGAGACTTGTGCTTGAGCAAAGACTTGAAGGAGATGAGGGAGGAGCCATGTGACTCCCTGAAAGACAAGCCAGAGCGAACAGCCAGTGCAAAGGCCCTGAGATGGGCCCAAGCCGGGGAATCTGAAGACTGAAGAAAGGCCAGGATGGCTGGAGCAGAATGAGACAGGGGGAGACAGAAGGACACGCAGAGGGTCAGACAGGACAGAGAATATGGATGGATAGAGAGAATGTATGAGACAGACAGGCAGGCCTCATGAACAGACAGAGAAGGTCAGAAGAGGGGCAAGGAAAGACCAGCAGGGCCATGGACAGATGAATGGGCATATAGAAGGGCAAAAACATGCATGGATGGACATAAGGACAGAAGGGGCATGTGAATGAACGGATGGGGCACAAAGGTGCGCAGATGGGCAGATGGGGCACACAGAGGGACAGACTGGCATAGAGACAGACAGATGGACAGATGGCGTCCAAGGATGGACAAGCAGGGGTGCAGACAGACAGCTGGGTGCATAGAGGGACAAAACGAATTCATGGATGGACAGAAAGGCCAACAAACAGGGTATAATGAGGGACAGATGGGGTGCAGGGGCAGACAGAAAAACAGAAAAGGCTAATGGATGGACAAACAGACTGCCACATTGATAGGCAGGGAACAAAGATGTACAGACAAGGCACAAGAATGGGAAGACACACAGACATAAATGGCATATGGATGGCTAGGTGAGGGGCACAGACAGACAAACTGCACGCGGATGGGCAGACACCAGGAAACAGACGGGGCAAACGAAGGCACAGCCCAACAGACAGACTGAGGACGTACTGACGGATCAAGGCAAACGGATGGACAGACAAGAGAAGCAGGGCCCACGGTGGTCAGGTGTGGCACATGGACAGACAAGATCCCGGCTGAGGACGGACTCACTTGCAGGTGCGCTCGCGGCCGCCGGCGCGGCAGTCGAAGTTGTCGTAGAGGCAGGCGGGCGAGCTGCAGGCGGGGTCGCAGCGGCTGTTGTTGAACAGGAGCCAGCACTGCAGCGCCGCGCACTGCCGCCAGGGGTCGCTCACGCTCAGGGAGCAGTCGCCGCCGTCCCAGCCGCAGCCGGGGCTGTTGCACTCGCGGTCGCAGTTCTTGTCGCCGCTCTTGGCCTCGCAGGCGGCTCTCGGGCACGCCGGCTCCTCCGGGACCTCGGGCATCGCCACGGACACCTCGGGCATCGTCGCGGGCACCTCGCAGCGCGGCCCGGCCCAGCCTGGCGCGCAAGCGCAGCGGAAGAAGGGCGCGAGCGGCTCCGGGCGGCAGGAGCCCCCGTGGAGGCAGGGAGAGGTCGCGCAACTAGCGTTGCCGGCCCCGGGGGGCGACCCCCGGGAACCCCGGCAGGCGGGACCCGACAGCCCCGGGGGGCAGGCGCAGCGCGGTCCACGGACCGTCTGCTGGCACGGGACACCCATTGGGCACTGCAGCTCCCGGCAGGAGCGTGCCACCCGCTCGCAACGCGGGCCCCAGAACGGCTGTGGGTTGGGTGGGGGGAGAGGAAAAAAAGCGCGGGGGCAGGGGATGGAGGGAGAGAGAGAAGGGGAGGAGAAAGTAGGGAAGGTAAAAGAAATGGAAAGGTGGAAAAGCAGATTGAGGGTTGAAGGGGGAGAGGGAAAAAAATATGGAGGATCAGAACTTGGGAAAGGTTGTGCCTCTGATCGCCCCAGGTCTCTCCCAATCTCTCCTAGCTCCCACTGCCAGCCCCACCTTACAGGTAAGCCCAAGCGTTCCCAAGAGGCCGCAACTCCAAATTACGGAGAGACGCACACACAACCTCCAGGTAATTTCAACATTTCCCAGAAATCCTCTTGCACTTCTTGTCCCCTAAAGCGTCACCCTCCCATGAGGCCACGCCCCCTAACCCCCACCCCACCCGCTTCCAGAGACCCCGCTACCACGGGCCACCCCACCTACCACCTACCGGGATGCAGTGGCAAGAGAAAGTCAGCACACCCCCAGGGCCGGGGCTGGGACGGCACTGGCCTCCATGCTGACAAGGCTGAGACTCACAGGGAGACAAGACAGTCTGACAGCGGGGACCTTGGCAAGCAGGAGGACGCGGATCAGCTGCCTGTGGGAGACACAGGCAGGATCCCAGGCCAGCCCCCTCTTCCCGTGCTCACCTGTGAAGCCAGGGTGACACAGGCAGCGGAAGCCCCCACCTGGGTCCTGCAGGCAGTCCCGGGTATGCGCCGCGTGGCAGGCACCTGGGCGACACTCATTGATGTCCCCCTCACAGCGCAGGCCAGTGTATCCTGGGGGGCAGGTGCAGCGGAACCCACCCACCAGGTCCACGCAGGTACCATTGTGCAGGCACCGAGGCCCCAGGTCCAGGGCAGGGCCTGGGCCACAGTCATCCTCATTAATCTCGCAGAGCACGCCTGGGGGGTGGGGGATGGGGAACATCAGGAGGGCTCAGAAACCGAGCCTCCCCGCCTGTCCCCCAGCCCTGGTCCTGGCCTACCCAGCGTCCCTGGGGGACAGGAGCAGAGATAGTGGGCCACGAGGTCAATGCAGATGCCCCCATGCTGGCAGGGCTGGGAGGCACACTCGTCTATATCATCCTCACAGCTGTCACCAGTGTAGCCGGCTGGACACTGCAGTGGGGGCGAGACAGGGACCTCCTCAGCCCAGAGGGACACAGATGCTCCCCATGGAGATACAGAGAATCCAGGGCAAAGGGGCACATGCAGTCATCCCACGCACGGAGACATGCTCAGTGAGCAGAAACACACACCCAGTGCATGGAAACACCCAGACACAGAGGGCTACAGATAACAGTGCAAAGAAACACACATACATACAAATGCACAGGCAGTCACACAGGAGAAATACCCAGATACACCCAAGACACACACGGCCAGAGACGCACACTCAGACACTGGCCCCTGTGTGCCATTCATACCCATAGAAACACCATGCACAGAGACACATATGTCCAAGAAATAACGAAAGACAGAGGCAGAGCCAGACGCAGACACCCTGAGATCTACCCAGAGTGACACCCACAAAAAGACACCCAGAGTCACAAAAGCAAAAACCCAGACATGCCTAGAGAGGGACACTGCACCAGGCTCTAGACACACAGAAATGTGTAGCCAGACTCACCCAGGAGTGAGCAGCCCTCCGTCTCCTCCCCTGGGTGCTCCTTACCTCGCACACATAACCGCCCAGGTAGCCTCGGCAGGTGCCCCCATGCTGACAGGGCTGAGCCAAGCAGGGGTCCATCTCCTGCTCACAGTGGCTGCCGGTGTGGCCCTCTGGGCACACACAGTAGTGGGAGCTGTCCTTGTCCACACACTGCCCACCCGCCTGACACAGCTGCTCCGTGGGCACCCCTGAGCAGAGGACAGCGGCATCAGGCAGACTCCCTCCTCCCTGCCCCCGTCATACACAGCACACCCAGCATCCCCACTAGCCTTGGTCACCAAGGCGTCACACACATTCCACTGGGTTCCCACACATCCCCTCACACTGACACACACACACACACACACACACATGCGCGCGCGCGTGCGCGCACTTTCAAAGCTCACATCAGCTAGGTCACACACGGCATCGCAGACATCCCAGTCGTTTCGCAGTGATAGACACACACACCACCGTGTCCTGGCCATATCGACACACACTCACACACCCCACCACGTCCATAAGCTCTGATGCGCTCTCATTCAGCTCACCCTAGCAGGAAGTATGTGCGCACACACCCAATCACGCGCCCCCCCCTCACCGATTTGGGCCGCAGCCTCTCTGCAGGGCAGGCTCCGGATGTCACATAGGCGGCCGCTCCACCCCGGGGGGCAAAGGCAGTAGAAAGTGGACCCTGTCCGGGCACAGCGACCCCCATTCTGACAGGGCGAGCGGCTGCACCAGTCCACCAGCGTCTGTCGAGGAAGGCCGGAGTGTCCACACTCGGGGACCCCTAGAAACCCTGCCCAGCTTCTCCTCCAAGGTCTTGAGCAGGCTCCAGAACGCCTCTCCAGATTTCTCCCCCAGGATCCCTGCCAGGCCCCTCACAGCAATCCCTGTGCCAACTCCTCCCCAGGATCCAGGCTGCCTTCTCAACCAACCAAGGTACCCAAACGGCCCCTCCCCCAGAACATCCCTCTAGACTCCTCCCCCACGGCTCCAGTGACCCCGCCCACCTGGCACTGAGCGCCTGTGAAGCCCCCTGGGCAGGCGCAGTGAAAGCCGGGGTGGGCGGCAGTGCAGACGCCCCCGTGCATGCAGGGCCGCGAGAGGCAAGGGTCCGTCTCATGCTGGCAGTGTGCGCCAGTGTAGCCCGCGCGGCACAGGCAGGTGAAGGAGTTCACACCATCCACGCAGGTCCCTCCATTGAAGCAGGAGCTGGAGGGAAAGGCGGGGCGCGTCAGGCCCCGCCCTTCAGAGGCCCCGCCCCGCTCCTGGGTTCCCTCCGGGCGGAAGAGTGACAAGACCCGTACCCCAAGGAGAAGCTGAGGTCCCCCAAAGGCTCCGCCCTGTCGTGTCCCTTAACCCCAGTACCCCAGGTGCTTCAGGGCTATGTGGAGGCCCCAACCTGGCCTGGCCTTGCTCCCTCAGGGACCAGGGTACCTAAGGTGACCTCCCAACAGATGTCCTGCCCCTTCCCGGACATGTCCCCATCAGGCATCAAAGTCCTGAAGTGGGTGTCCAGCCGAGGACTCCTTGTCCCCGGCTCCTCGGGTCCCACGCCCCATCCGATGCCAGGGTCCCTGCCCCCCAGGGGAGGCCCCACCCACCTGGGACTGCAGTCGGGGAGGTCCTGCTCGCAGCGGAAGCCGCCATAACCTGGCGGGCAGGTGCAGGTGAAGGAGGCCACGTGGTCTGTGCAGGTGCCTGAACCGCAGGGGCTGCTCAGACACTCGTCCACGTCTCGGGCGCAGCGGGGGCCAGCAAAGCCAGGGAGGCAGGAGCAGGAAAAGGAGCCCACTCCGTCCTGACATGAGCCACCATTCAGGCAGGGGTCTACGGTCAGAAGGGAGGAGGTCTGGTCACGCACCTCACCCCCTGACCTGGCCATGCCTTGCGTAGAGGAAAATCGGGAGAAAACCAGGCTTCATTGGGAGGAGCACACTTAGCCAGGGGAACCAAACCCTGTCCTCTCTGAGGCCTCATCCCTTCCCTTATCTGGTTGAAACCTCCTCTATGTGGAAGGGAGGAAAGGTTTGAGAAGCTCCCAAAAGGTTGCCTGCGTGCATGCTATGTTGCTTCAGACATATCTGAATCTGACTCTATGTACTATAGCCCGCCAGGCTCCTCTGTCCACGGGATTCTCTGGGCAAGAATACTGGAGTGGGTTGTCATGCCCTCCTTCAGAGGATCACCCCCACCCAGGGATCGAACCCTCATCTCTTATGTCTTCTGCACTGGCAGGTGGGTTCTTTACCACTAGCACCACCTGGGAAATCCCAAGTACTGGTTGTATCTGCTTAATTCCTGAGTTTGGCACAGGAGGTCTCCTCCAGGCCTGGGCTAGCCAGTATGGTGGCCGCTGACTACATGTGGCTCTTGAGCACTTGACATGTGGTTGGTCCAATTTGAGATGTACTGTAAGCATAAAATAGACACCAGATAGCAGATCATGACGATTCCATATGAAAAAAGAAAAAAATAATGTAAAATACCTCAATCATTTTATATTGATTACATGTTGAAATGGTAATGTTTTTATGTATTAGGTTAAATAAAATATATTATTAAATTTGATATCACCTGTTGTCGTTTTGTTTGCTTTTTAATGTGGCTATTAGAAAATAATTAATTCAAGGACTTCCCTGGTGGTCCAGAGGTTAAGACTACCTGCTCCCAATCAATGCAGGGGGCCTGGGTTTGATCCCTGGTAAGGGAACAAGAACCCCCATGCTACAACTAAGATCTGGTGCAACAAAATAAATTTTTTTTAATTAATTCAAAAAAAAAAGATTTTTAAAAAATCAACTAAAGAAACTTAATTCATATGTGACTTGCATTATTTGTCTATTTAACAGTGCTCCTGGTGACTCACTAAGGGGCCTATTATCTCATACTTTACATACAATTTTAACTTGCTTGTTGACAGAGGCAGGTTACAGGCTTCAGAGTCAAACAGACCTGTGCTCCTATCCTAGCTCATCTCTCTACTCGCTGCACGACCTTGGGCAAGTCACTTAACCTCTGTGGGGCCTCAGTTTTCATGAACAAATGGGGAAAGTAAGACAACTGTGAAGATGAAATGAAAGTACAGTGCTAAGCATACTGTAGCAACTTGATGAACATGTTCCCTAGGTCAGAACCCTCCCCCCAAGAGCTCCCTTGAACTCACTGGGGTCACAGTCATCGATGTCCTGATCACAGGAAGGGCCACTGTAGCCCTCATGGCAGGTGCAGCTGAAACTCCCTGCCAGGTTGGTGCAGGTACCATGGGGACCACAGGGTGAGAGGCTGGCACACTCGTCCACATCCTCCTGACATCGTGGGCCTGGGGGTGGGGAGCAAAATAACATCCAGGATTAGCAGATGCAGGGTAGGGTCCGGGAGTACCTGGCGCTCAGGAGGAATCTTAAGACTGACATAGATGAAGGCAAGAAGTTTGCTTCTCGGTGTTTTGCACATACTGTTCCAGCACGCCCCTCTCCTTATTTCAGCTGGTGGAGAATGTGATTCTGTGATTGAGGCCTGCTCCTCCAGGCTTTCCCCAAACTCTCAGCCTGAATTCTAGATTCTCAAGCCCTTATCAAACCAAAACCAGTCACTCCTAAAGGAAATCAACCCTGAATATTCATTGGAAGGACTGAAGCTGAAGCCGAACCTCCAATACTTTGGCCACTTGATGCTAAGAGCCAACTCGCTGGAAAAGACCCTGATGCTGGGAAAGATTGAGGGCAGGAGGAGAAGGGGACAACAGAGGGTGAGATGGGAGGTTGTATGACATCACTGACTCAATCAACGTGAATTGGAGCAAACTCTGGGAGATGGTGAAGGACAAGGAAGCCTGGCGTGCTGCCCTCCATGGGGTCAAAAGAGTCAGACATGACTTAGCAACTAAACAATGAACAACACAGCCCATATCCCTTCCTCTTCTCCTGAACTGACTACACAGGCTGCAAGTGTCTCTGTCTAGCTCTGTTCCTTCCCAGAAGGAAGCTCCCTTAAAAGGCAGAACCAGGGGACTATCCTGCTGGTGCAGTGGCTAAGACTCTGTGCTTCCAAAGCAGGTGGCCTGGGTTCAATCCCTGGTCAGGAAACTAGATCCCACATGCTGCAACTAAGACCCAGTACAGTCAAATAAATAATAAGTAAACAATTTACTTAAAAAAAAATTTTTTTTTTAAAGGCAGAGCCGAGGTGGGGGTTGGGGTACTCCTTCTCTGGGTCCTCAGCATCATCCAGTATGGAGCAAGTTGCAGAGGAAGTGAAGGACAGAAGAAGCAACTGGTGTACCTTGCCAACCAGGGGTGCAGGAGCAGACAGCCAGCTGGCCAGGAGCAGACTCACAGTAGCCCCCATGCTCACAGGGATTCGGGGTGCAGGGGGACAGCAGCTCACACTGATGGCCTGTAGTGGGCAGGCAGAGTGAGATAGTCTTGAGAGATTCCTTGATCCCATCTCCCCACAAGGTCCCCACCTTGATACCCACCTCCCAAGCTCCTGTGTAAGAGTGAGAAAGGAAAAGAAAAAAGGGACAAATGCAGAGAAGGAAGAGAAAATGAAGCAGAAAGGAAATAAGAAGGAAGAAGGAAGGAAGAGGCCCTGGGGAGGGAAGGTGGAGACACGCACCCTGGATACCAGGGGGACAGGTGCAGCGGAAGCCCATTCCATCACTGGTGCAGGTGCCGCCTTCCCGGCAGGGACGGGATTCACAGGCATCTCGAGTGAGGCTCTGACTGCACTGAGGGCCACTCCAGCCAGGTTCACACACACAGCGGAACCTGGTGAGGGACGCAGTCAGGGCTGGCAGGAGGGTAGGGAAGCTGCAGGGGTCAGGGAGCTGGGGAGAGACCTCACCCTCCAGGCGCATCGTGGCAGATGCCATGACTGCAGGGTTCCTGGGCGCAAGGATGGCTTGGGGGAAGGCAGAGCGGGGGCAGGGAGCCAGGTGGGCAGAGGCATCGGAAGCCATTTTCACCATCCACGCAGGAGGCTCCCTCGCCGCAGGGGTTGGACGCACACTCGTTGATCTCCACGTTGCAGAGGGGCCCTGGGGAGCAGGCAGGCAACCTCATCCCAGGACAAGGATAGCGGAGCCAACCAGGGAAGGGCAACCTTGCCCCATTTAGCACAGTCACACCCTTGAGTAAGGACCATCTCATTTGCTTAGTAACACATCAGCTCTTGTGCAAATTAGGACAGCCACCTCTGTAACCCAGAGATACCTCGCCCCAGATCACCCTTGCCCCCAAACTTACATGAAGTCACTTTCATTCTGCCAAGGATTGCCTTGGCCCCACTCAGAAACACCTCAACCTCTGAGTCTGAACACCTTCATGGACATACCAGGATAATCTTGAGCAAACATGGGGACACATGCCAATGGGAGAAAGCAAAATTCTCAGGGCAAAGCATGGACAATCCCTAAGGACAAGCACATGCAAACAGAGGGGCAAAACCTGGCCAGGAAAAATAGGTGATTTCACCCTCACTCTATAAAGACCCTGTTTCCATGGCAGCCACTTGCCCACCTGTGAATCCAGGCTGGCAGACACAGTCATAGCGGTTGATGCCGTCCCGGCAGACTCCAAAGGTGCAGGGGTTGCTAGCACAATCATCAGTGTTCACTTCGCAGTTCACACCTGGGGAAGGGGAACACGACTGGGATTGCCACCACCGTCACCTGCCAGAAACACCATTCCTGAACCCTCTGTGTCCCATCATATGTACTATTCCTGTCCCAGACCAGCCCCTGGCCCCACCTGTGGTGCCAGGAGGGCAGCGGCAGAGGTATTTGTCCACCAGGTCTAGGCATTTGCCTCCGTGTCGGCAGGGCTGGCTTCGGCACTCATCCACCTGGCTTTCACAGCGCATGCCGGTGTAGCCCGGGGCACAGGCGCACGAGAAACTGGCAATGCCGTCCACACAGCGCCCGTGGTGGCAAGGGTCTGGCGAGCAGTCATCCACGTTGCGCTCACACACTGCGCCCTCGAAGCCTGAGGTGGATAGAGGGTCAGGCTCCACCCACTGGCCAAGGTCCTGCCCATAGCCATGGCCTCTGCCCAATCCTAACTCAGCTCTCCCTCAGGCCCGGCCCATTGAGCCAATAGGAGGCAGGCTCAGTTCAGGCTCCGCCCCTGGCTGGCCTCCAGAGGCCATCCAGCGGCAAGCTCCGAGACTTGTCCCTGGCCAGGACCCTACCAGTTAAATCACCCCTAGCGAGACCCTGCTTCCAATCCTTACACCATCAGCCCTGATTTGCCTCTCCCTCCACTGGAGATGTGGACACATGGGAGGTTCCTGGGCTTCCCAGGTGGTTCAGTGGGTAAAGAATACGCCTGCAATGCAGGAAAGATGAGTTCAATCCCTGGGTGGGGAAGGTCCCCTGAAGGAGGGCATGGCAACCCATTCCAGTATTCTTGCCTGTAGAATCCCATGGACAGAGAAGCCTGGTGGGCTACACAGTCCATTGGCTCGCAAAGAATGGACACAACTGAAGTGATGGAGCAGGACAGTACAGGAGGTTCCTGGGGATGGAGGGGTTTGGACGGGGTCCCTCCAATCCAGTGCACATCTAACCTACCAGATCCTTTGGGCCCACCCCCTAGCCTTACCTCTGCTTATGTCCACAATTGGCTCCTCCTCCTGGCTCTTTCATTAGTCCTGCTCCAGGCCTGCCGTACAGCAGCTCTGTCCCCAACTTTCCCCCAAGCTTATTATTGGCCCTTTTCCCCCACTAGCCCCTCCTCCAGATTCCTGCCGTCTTGTCATTAGCCTGCCCTCACCCTCTGCGCAGCGGCACTCGTAGCCATCTGGCTGGTCCACGCACTTGGCTCCGTTCCGGCAGGGTGTGCTGGCACACTCATCCACATCCAACTGACACATGGCCCCACTGAAGCCTGGAGCGGGGAGTGTGAGATAAACAGAGGGACCCAAGTAGGGCCAGAGCAGACACCCCTCACCAGTGCTGCCTGGTTTGGGTGGAAAGCCCATTTACTTTTAAATTAACTTCATAAGGTGCTAGCTGCTATATAGGAACCCACTAACATGATGTTATAAGCTCCCATCCTGGAGTCTTTGCCCCAGAAGGTCTTTCTCAGGCTCCCTGGCCCAGAGTCCTCACCCGAGGGGCACGTGCAGCTGAAGCCATTGACTCTGTCCTTGCAGACCCCACCGTTCACACACGGGCTGCTCTGACACTCATCCATGTCCACCTCACAATATGTGCCGGTGAAACCTGGAGGGGTGGAGGGAGGGGGGGTCACAGCAATGAGGGTTTAGCTTCTGGTCTGAAGGGAGAGCAAGGGGGGACATACCCCACTTCCCCTGAGCCTTGGCCCTGACCCCAACCCATCTCTAGATTCAGTTTTCAGACTCAGGCCGGATCTTCATTCAGCGTGGCCCCAAATGGCCAAATGGCTCAAAGCTTGAGACTCCATGTGGGCATGTCTTCAGACCACCTCCTTCCTTCTTCAAATTATGCCTCTTCCCCAGCTCCCAGCCAAGGGCCCACCATAGCCTTGTGCCCAGCCTCAATCTCACCCCAGCATCAGTGCATCTCTGTCCAGTCTCCACTGTGACCCCTACTCCAGACCCTGGTCCTGCCCTCATGTCATTCCCATCCCACAGTGCGTCCAGACTCCACTCCCAGCCCATGTGCGGTTCTCCTGACTCCACCGGACCACGCCCCCAGACTCTGCTCCGGCTCTGCCTCCCCCTCATCCCAGGCTTCAGTCTCTCACCCTTCCAGTTCTGTCTGCTCTGGGCCCCTCTGCCTGAAGGCTTTTCTCACCCCGCCTCCCAGCCTCAGGCCCCGCCCCAGCCACGCCCACCACACACCTGCCATGCAGATGCAGGTAAACTGGCCTATGCGGTCCAGACACGTGGCCTGGTTGCGGCAGGGTCCTGACAGGCATTCATTGACATCGGTCTCACAGCGCGGGCCAGTGTAGCCACGGCCGCACTGGCACAGGAATGAGCCCTGTGTGTTCACACACCGGCCCAAGTGCTCACAAGGGTTGGCACCTGTAAGGTGGGGTCACAGTGTGGGTGTGGGAAGCTGAGGAGCAGCCTCTCCCCTCCTTCCTTACCCTCAGACTGTACCCCCTCACCAATGGAACACTCGTCCACATCCTGGTCGCAAGCTCCGCCTGTGAAACCCGGTGGACAGGTGCAGATGGCCCGGCCATTCACTGGGTTCGTGTCACAGATAGCATCCTCGTGACAGGGGTTGCTGACACAAGCATCGTCCAGATGACACAAAAGTCCTGGGAAAGAGTAAGTGGAAGTCAAGGGCAGACCATCCCCCGGCTCTGCCCAAAGGTCCCACATCCCTGAACATTGTAGTGTTTTGTTTTTTCGTTTATTAACCAGCAGTGTATTTAGTGGGCTTCCCAAGTGGCACTAGTGGTAAAGAATCTGCCTGCCGATGCAGGAGACATAAGAGATGCAGGTTCAATCCCTGGGTTGGGAAGATTCCCTGGAGGACAACATGGCAACCCACTCCAGTATTCTCTCCTGGAGAATCCCATGGACAGAGGACCCTGGCAGGGCTGCAGTTCATAAGCAACTTAGCATGCACATACATATTTAGTAGCTATTCTCCCCCAATCATTTATTTAAAATTTAAACATACAGAAAAGTTTATTCATATACCCATCACCTAGATTCAACTATTGTAATTTTATTTTTTCTGAACCATTTGAAAATAAGTTGGAAATATCCACATATTGTTTTTAAAATCCATTGACTCTTTTTATGATTCTAAGAGAGTCCTAGCATTAAGTCTTTGCCTCTGCAGTACCCTCTGCCTGACATACCCTGCCCTCCGCTCCAAGTTACCCTAGCAAACATCTTCTCTGATCTTTGCCACTCCCAAAAGTCCCCTCTCCTTCTGAGTCATAGTTTAGCTCTCCATTCCGGTGACTTCTTTCCTGGATTGTCTGCCCTCCCAGGCCTCTCCCAGGCTTATCCTTCACCCCAAACCCAGCTTCTAGCATAAGCATTAAGCATCAGCTTAATTAATTAAGAACAATATGTTTAATTATGCTTCTAGCATAGCATAAGTCTGACTCAAGTCAGACTCCATCCTTGGCCCCACTCAAGAGCCATCAATGGCTCCCTGCTGCCTTCAGGGAAAAAAACAGTCACTCACCAGTTTTGCCCATGGGGCAGGCACAGTAAAAAGAGGCCACACGGTCGTGGCAAGTGGCCCCGTGGAAGCACACAGCCGTGGCACAGTCATCAATATTCTGACTGCAGCTCTCACCCGTCCAGCCATTGACACACACACAACTGTGGCCACCCAGTGTGTTGAAGCAGGTGCCCCCGTTGTGGCAAGCGTTGGGCTGCAGCTGACACTCGTCCACGTCCTCCGTACAGAACTGGCCTGTGGCACACAGATGCATCAGTCCGCTTACCTGGCGCGTGCCCGTCCAGGGGCCCCCCTCAGGTCCCACCGCTCACCTGTCCACTCAGGAGGGCACTGGCAGTTGTAGGTGTTGACACCATCCACGCACGTCCCCCCATTTAGACATCGGTGCCCTGGACAGTCGTCCACATTCACTTCACAGTTCTGGCCCTCGAACCCTAGCGTGGAGCGCAAGGATGGTCACCGCCAGGCGGGCCGGCTGTCCCGCCGCCTCTGCTGCCTCCCCCGGGTACAGCTCCCTCACCAGGAAGGCAGGCACAGTCGTAGGTGAGGTCGCCGCTCTGCCTGCAGGTGCCCCCGTTGCGGCACAGGGAGGGAGCGCAGGGCGCCGCGGCGCTCTCACACAGGGGCCCCGTGTAGCCACCTGGGCACTGGCAGCGGAAGGAGCCGGGCGTGTTGAGGCAGGTGCCACCGTGGCGGCAGGGCGCGCCCACCCGGCACTCGTCCACGTCGCTCCGGCAGCTGCGGCCCTGGAAGCCGGGTGGGCAGGAGCACAGGTAGCGGCCGTCGGAGCCCACGGAGCAGCGGGCACCATGGGCACAAGGGCTGCTGAGGCAGGGGTCTGGCAGGGAGCAGTCGGGGCCTGCCGGGAACCAGGAAGGGTGAGCCCAGGCCGACCACACCCTTGCCTGCCTTCAGCTCCCTTCCAGACCCCCCTTTACCTCGGAAGCCCCGGGGACAGCGGCAGGTGAACCGGGCGGTCCCCGCCACCACCGAGCTCTGGCAGACACCACGGCCAGCACAGGGGCCGGAATGGCAGGGGTCTTCCAGCTGACACCGTTCACCCACCCAGCCTGGTGGGCACCTGCGGACAGACACGACCTGGTGGGGAAAGTCAGGGCAGAACAGCACAAGAGAGACACACCAGACAGACCAGAAGCACACAGGTAAACAAACACACACACTCATTCATCCACGCAACAGTTTCCCTGAGCATACCTACTAGGTTCTTAGCAATGGGAATACAGCATGTGTGCTAAGTCACTTCCATCATGGCCAACTCTTTGCAACCCCATGGACTGGCTGGCTCCTCCATATCTGGGATTCTCCAGGCAAGAATACTGGAGTGGGTCGCCATGCCCTCCTCCAAGGGATCTTCCCAACCCAGAAATTGAACCTGCATATCTCTTAAGTCTCCTGTATCGGCAAGTGGGTTCTTTACCACTAGTGCCATCTGAGAAGCCCAGGAATACAGCAGCAAACACAATTAAAGTGGTCCCCACCCTTTTGATGTTCATAGCCGGGTCTGGCAAAGAGAAGATATACAAATAATGAATGAATAAGCAACATGCACGCGGTGGAGTGGGGGGGGGGGGGGGGGGGGGGGGGGGGAGGCGGCAGCGGCGGGTAGTTCAGGCCATGGGGATCATGAAGGATGCAGTTGGGCAGAGTGGTGGCCCCAGAAAAATTATGTCCATGACCAAGAACCTGTGACTGTGACCTTATTTGGAAAAAGAAATGTAATTAATGATGCAATTAAATGAAGGATGTCTAGATGAGACCATCCTGATTATCCAAGCTGGCCCTAAACTGAGTGACAACTGTCCTACAAGAGAAAGGCAAACACTTCTGGCCTCCAAAACTGCGAGAATAAATTTCTGTTATTTTAAACCACCCAAGTTTGTGGTCATTTGTTCCACAGCCACAAGAAACTAAAAACACAGGATAAGGAGGACAGAGGGATGGGGGTGGGGGGAAGGCAACTATGTTTTCACAGACAAAGGGAAGGAAAAAAGAAGACTGTGTGGGAGAAGAAAGTGAGGGAGGGGGCCACGGGCCTGTGTGGGGAAGACTAGAGGAAATGGCAAATGCAAAAGGTCTCAGGTTCCAGAAGACAACCACCCAGGCGCACACAGATGGGCAGAACCCCCTAAGGTATCAGACGAGAGGGACACACTAACACGATGCGCTGGGCTGGCAAATACTCAAGACCCCAACCCACAGCCTCATTCACCAGTACGGGCTAACTTTCACATGCCAGACAAGAGGACCTCCACAAAGCTTCAGTTCCTTTCCTGGGACACAGAGACCCCTTCCTCCCGTTGCGGGGAGGAGGTGGCCACCAATGCTGGCGCCCCCTGTTGGGAGAAGGTCCTTCAGCCTCCAGCCCCCTCCAAACGCACCAAGGCCACCTTGAGGGTGAGGGTACAGACGCGCGCTGGTCTTAAGGCTAGACACCTCCAGAGTGGGGTCACAGGGCGGGACTTGGACCGGCCCTCGACGCTACCCGCCCCTCGCCTGGGTTCCTCCCTGTGGCCTGTCCCGGTCGCTCGGGGCTAAACTTAAGTACCTGACTCAGTCCTTAGCGTCACCCACAAGATTCCCCCCACCCCAGCCCCCAGCGAAACAAGTCGGGGCAAGAGCGGGCGCAGAGGGAGAACCCAGTTCCCAAACCCCCTCCCCAAAGATCCGCAGGGCAGGGACCGCCGCCAAGACTGCGCGCCGGGAGGGGGCGTGCTGCGCCGGGCGCCGAGCACTGCGAATTCTTCCTCCCCCAACCACGCGCGCGCGCACGGCAGGCAGGGCGTGGCCGCGCGGCCCGCTCCCGGCGCCCCCGGCGGGTTCCCACGCTCTGTGCCCCGCGCCCCTGCCGACCGGTCGGGCTGGTTCTCCGCTGCCCGCGCCCCGCCCAATCGCCTGGGCTTCACCGGAGACCGATGGGGGCAGTGATGACTACGAGATAGACACTAGAGTTTGAGAGACTTTGAGAGTTGGAGGATCCATGGAGGGGCGACAGACTGCGGGATCCGCGAAAGGAATTTGAAGGAGACTAGGGATGAGGGGGTACGTGGGGAGAGGTTCCCACGGACCACCTCTGGAGACTAAGCCCGGCGCTCCGCTCCGGGTGATCCGGGCTCCGGGCGGCCGCGCGGGCCGGTGATTCACCTGTCGGGGGGGCGGGGCAGCCGGGGGCGTATACACCTGTCGGCAGCTTTCCAGGCGCGGGGTCCCAGAGCGCAGGCGCCTGGTCCCGCGACTCCGCCTCCCAAGTGAGAAGCGCCAGGTGAGGTCACACTTTCCCCCCAATTCCCACCATCCCAACCCGAGGAACCCGCTCTACCAGGCTGAGACCCTCCCCCCCCCCCCCCCCATCGAGGTGAGTCAAAGTGCGTGTGCAACTTCAAAGGGTCTCTGAAGTCACCCCAGACCCACCCAGCTTGGGCTGGACACACAAGTTGCTGAATAAATGGATGCATTTAATGAATCGACCAATGGCTACTGGGTGACCTGCTATTATTAATGATGATATTATAAAAGGAACCAAGCATTTTCCCATAACCTCAGAGGTTCCTCCTTATGGCACCTATTTTCCAAGTCTCTACCATTAATAAAAAATACCATTTATTAAGCACTTACTGTATGCCCAACACTATGCTGATTTCACTCTTAATCTTTACAATCAACTCCATAAAGGAGGGAACTGTTATTGCCCCATTTTCCGGATGCAAAAATGAGGCTCAGAGAGCTCAAAGCACTTGCTCAAGGTTATCGCAGAGCCCAGAATTCAAATTGATCTCTGTCTGCCTCTGCTCAGCAATTTCCCAGGCCCTGCCCTGCCCTGCTTTCCCAACCCTCTGCCTTTCCTTGTACTTTCCAACAACTGCATTTGGGGGGGACTTTGGTCACAAATCAGGCAGAAGGACCATATTTTACAGATCAATGAGGTTCAGAGAGGGGAAGTGACTCACTCAAGGTCACACAGAAAGTAAGTGGCAGAGCAGGGCTCCTGTGGCCCCACCACTAAATCATGAGATGTGGGAAGGTACAGATGCTATCCCCACTACTGCTAAACCACTGTTACTAGTCCCTGAAAATCTGTTGATTGAATAACTATCTGTCCATCAGGGGATTTACACAAGACCACAGGCAGCAGAGAATTCGGTGTAGTTGGCATTAGCGGGCCCATTTTCCAGACTAGGACACTGAGGCTTAAAAAGTCAGGCCATCAGCAACATGATGTGGAATTTGAACCGCAGCCAGGCAGACTCCAGAGCCTCTACTCCTAGCTCTGCTCCCTCTAATGGGGAAACAAGAGGTTGCTCAAGCCACACACTTGAAGGAAGTGGTGGAAGCATCTATGGTGAACAGAGGCAGGGGAAGAAGACAGACCGCCTCCCCACACAGGGCCCACTGATGGCTCAGAGCCAGGCACTCACAGGCAGGCAGCCTCCCGGGAGGGCAGCTGGGTGCAGCGACCTCCGTTCACACACGGGCTTCCGTCCAGGCAGGGGGGGGCTGGGTGGGGGTGAAGGAAGGTGGGGGTGTCAGGCAGGCGCCCAGGAACCCCAGCCTGGATTGAGACTCCGTCCTTTCCTCCCTTGGGCAACAGCTGCACCAGGCTGGGGGCGTCTCTGCGAGAGCAGAGAGCCCCCCCATTCACAGTTCCCACGGCCCCCCGCCCCGGCCCCAGCTGTTGGGGCTGCAGCTGTCACTGCCAACTCGAGCCCTGGGAACCACAAGGCAGGGGCAAGCAGGAGGAGGGGCCGACTTGTGCCAGATGTGGGGGCTCAGAAGCTGCCAGAATGGGGGGCAGGAAGTGGGGGTGCTGCGAGGGTTGAAGGGAGGTCTGGGACTGTGTGCCCAGATCCCGGGGTTGTGGAGGGGGCATGGGTGGGGAGTCCTGGGGCCCTGGGCTTCCTTCTGCTGATGTTGGGCATCTACTCCAACTGGGCAGGCCTGCATGCTAGTTCTGGGGAGAGATGCCAGGGCATGAACGAACGCCGTGCACAGCCAGCAACTGGGCGTTACAGGGATGGGGTCTGTGTTGAGGGAGGGGCAGCTGGCACAGGCTGACCTCTCCAGCATCCTCACCCCTAAGGGCTGTGTCTCTCTGCGGTGTGGCACAGTCTAACTGTCCTGTCGGATGGGTCAGGGCTGTGGCGGGATGTGAGTTAGTGGGGCACTGTGTGAGCCAGCAAGTGTGGGGCCGCTTGTGCATGTGTGCCTGTGTGTACAAGAGGAGACAGAAAAAGGGAGAGGAAGAAGATGAGAAAAAGACAGACATAAAAGAAGGAAACTAGAAGGAGGCAGACACAGAGAGGAGATCAAGAAAGACAGACAGAGTTTAAAAAAAGAAGAGAGACCAAGATATACTGGACATGCAAGTGCATTAAACATGGCTTCTGTCCCTTCCGCAAGGCACAAGCAGCCAGGACACTATCACCCATACAGGAGCCCAGGGCTGTTTGTGAACTCACACTGGGGGCCACATGACATGAGCCGTGGGCCCTGTGGGCCATGTGTGTGTCTGCATGGCCTGCATGGATGTAGAGATGTTTATAGGCTGAAACTTGTTGTGTGTCCATGTATGTGAACTACGTATCTGAGTATATAGCCGTTGTGTCTGTGTGTGACTTGTATGTGCATGGGTGTGTCTGGGTGTGGGTTGGACGTGCTCGTATACCTGCATGTGCCAGCTAGGTGTAGGCATGTCCTTGCCTCTGTCTAGATGCATCTCAGTGTGTGCAGATAGTGAGTGTGAGGCCTTGGGCTGGTGGTGCAGGGTATGTGTGAACATGCGTGATCATATGAGCACGTGTGAGCTGTGAATGTGTCTTGTGTGATCGTGTGAGTACATGTGCGGGTGTACTCTATGTATGTGTGCACACACATACACATCTGCATCTCCACATGTGTGACCCAAGAATGTGCGTCCTGTGAGTGTGTGACAGGCCATGTGGGGGCGGCTGCTCCTGCCCACTCCTGCCCCATCTGCCCGCCCGGGGCTGGGCTGGCTGGGTAGGCCTGTTTCCTCCCTACCCCTCCCCGGGCTGAGCCCCACAGCAGCGTCCAGAGACCCAGGCCCAGGGCCACTGGGCTCGCGTCCCTCCCCTGCCGGCCAGGCCTCCCTTGGCTGGGGGTGCGCCCCAGCAGCCCCGGTCCGGCCCCGCTGCCGTCCCCGCTTTGTCTGGCAAAGAAAGCGCGAGGCTGCCGGGGGGGAGGGGGTGTCTAGACGGCGTGGCCATTGTCCCAGGATTGCCGCGCTCCGGCCTGGGAAGTTTTCTCCGAGTTTAGAGCTCCGAGAACTTCGCGCCCCCTCCGGCCCCCCGCCCTGCCAGACCTGCCCCGGCGGTGTGCATGAGGAGGGGGAGCTTTTATGCGAGGGGTCCCCGACCTGGGGTACTTGGGTTCCAATCGTGACCTTCCCAGGGCTCTCGACAGGCATGGTTGGTGAGAGAGCCCCAGATTCTTGGCTACCCCCCCCACTCCCCCGCTAATCTTGATCCGCTCACCTCCAGCTCCCAGTCCCGGGCTCCAGGGTCCCTTCATTCCCAGCCCACATCTCTCCCAGGCCCCGGTTCCTGCGGTCTCTGGGGTCCTGCCTCAACCCCCACTCTCAATTCGGAGTCCCTGCCCCCGGCTCCTGCGCTCGCTGCCCCTGCGCTCTGGTCCCTGATTCCCAGGGACCGCCCCCACACCCACCAAGTCCCAGACTCGGGGAGGCCTTGCACTCCATTCTTCCCCTTCCCCCACCCACTCACCCCATCCCGCCCTCAGGGTCCCGGCCCCTCACCTGCAGCCCCCGGCCCCGCTAGCAGCAGCAATAAGGGCAGCGTCCGCACGGACGGCAGGGGTGGCGGCGGCGACATCGGGCGACGGCGGCGGGGGCGGCGGATTCGCTGAAGTGAGACGGCCGGGCCGCCCCGCCCCCAACCCTGGGCGGCTCGCCCCGCCCCAGGGCCGGCCCAGAGCTCCCCCGCCCCCGGCCCGGCCTCCTGGGGTCCCTGCCCACCCTCCACCCACACAGCCTGGGACCCGAAGACCCTCTCAGAAACTCAGGCCAGCCGGCCCAACCCACGGTGTCAGACACACCCAACTTCCTGAACATCTCCAGCTCCCCAAAACACATCCAGAGCCCGAGACACACACGGAGCTGGGCACAAACAGACACTCCCCTACCCCCACCCCCCGACACCCCGAAACTGAAACCAGGCACGTTCTGCAAGGCTCATGAATACATAGCCAGGATGCACAAATGCAGAGGCGTGCACAGAGCCTCCTGGGGGACTTAAAATCTGAAATATTCACAACTCTAAACTCAGGCCCTCTCAGACCCTTTCAGACCTAGAACCTTGGGCGATTTTTGCAGCCTCGGACCTCAGGCACAGGCCAGTAGTTTCAAGTGTGCTACCAAACACTCACACTCCGTCTTACTCTCAGCGCTTCCTGAAAGTAACCCCTTCCTCCTCAATATCCAAAGGTCCACCCCACCCCATAGCCTACACAGCTTCGCTGCTCAGCCAATCTTGCTCAGTTTCATCCAACTGCCTTTTCCAAAATCAGTCATGCTGAAAAACAACCACCCTGCAGTGAGCTCTGTCCCTGTGGCAAGAATGGGGACTCCGGAAAGGCCCCAAGACCAGCCTAGAGAAGCTCCCAATCTGGGGAAGAAAAAAACAGACTCCAGCACTGTGGACTTAGGGTTGGGCCAGAGGGAGAGACAGAGCAGAGAAGCTGGTGAGGGTTCTGCTTGGGGGAAGGAGGTTACTTATTCATTCATTCATTTATTCAACAAGTAGGTATAAAGCTCAGGCTCTATGTCTCGTGTTGTTTGAGCAGCTTCACCTCCCCTGCCCTCTTCCAGAGAGAGCTTCCCTGAGAAGGGTTCAGTGGGGGCTCTGCCCAGAACTGGAAGAAAGACATTTCAGGAGAGGGACAGGTCTGCAAACAGAGGAGGGGGCCGAGTCACGTAGGGAAGGAGGGGAGAGTGGGCAGGTCAGGGGTCGCCCTGGCCCTGAGGCGGAGGAGAAAGAGGCCAGGTCGACCTTGTAGGTGTTTAGCGCGGTGATGAGGCTATAGTGAGGAGGAATGGGTTGGGGGTGATGCGCTGAAACCCAGGAGTCTGAGGTTCACTCATGAGACAGCTGAGCACGGGGGCATCAGGGTGGGATGGGCACCCTGGGCACCCCAGAAATCTTTGAGCAATTTTTAAACTTCATTTAGAAATAATTTAAAATGCAATTTCCATAGACCCTTTACCCAGCTTCACCAACTCGGCCCACACTTTGCCAAATTTACTTTATAATTATTGTTATTGTTCAGTTACTAAGTCATGTCCGACTCTTTGCGACCCCCTGGAGTGCAGCACAACAGGCTCCCCTGTCCTTCACTGTCTCCTGGAGTTTGCTTAGACTCATGTCCATTGAGTCTGCGATGCCATCCAACCATCTCATCCTCTGTCACTCCCTTCTCCTTCTGCAAACTTCAGTCTTTCCCAGCATCAGGGTCTTTTCCAAAGTATTGAAAAAGAGTTGGCTCTTCGCGTCAGGTGGCCAAAGTATTGGAGCTTCAGCACCCCAGCATCTATCCTTCCAATCAATATTCAGGGTTGATTTCCTTTAGGATTGACTGGTTTGATCTCCTTGCTGTCCAAGGGACTCTCAAGAATCTTCCCCAGCACCAAAATTGGAAAGCAGTGCTCAACCTTCTTTATGGTCCAACTCTCACATCTGTACATGACTACTGGAAAAACCATAGTTTTGAAGAAATTATATATAATTTTAACATATATAATATGTAATATATTATATAATAGATGTATTTGAGAGCAGGGCTTCCCAGATGGGTGGTAAAGAACCCACTTGCCAAGTGCAGGAGACATAAGAGATGCAGTTTCATCCCTGGGTCAGGAAGATCCCCTGGACAAGGGCATAGCCACCCACTCCAGTCTTCTTGCCTGGAGAATCCCATGGACAGAGGAGCCTGGTGGGCTACAGTCCATGGGGTCACAAAGTGTCAGACACAACTGAAGCGACTTAGCACGCACACATATTTGAAAGCAAGATGTAGATATGATGTTCCTTTGCCCCCAAAATCATCACTGTATGTTTCCTAAGATTGAGGGCATTCTCTTATACATACATACACAACAGTTTTCACCATACGGACAGTTTTTGGTTTCCCCAGTAATATCCTCTATAGCATGTTTCTTTGCTGGTCCAGGATCTAATCTCTGACCATGTGTTCCATTTAATGGTTATGTTTCTTCATGTCCTTTAATCTGTATCAGTTCCTTAGCCTTTCTTTATCTGTTATGATGCTGATATTTTTGGATAGTCAAGGTCATTTGTTTCACAGAACATCCCTTAGTGAACTGGGCTGCAGTTTCCTCATGACCAGGTACAGGCTCTGTGTCTTTGGCAAGAACTGCGGAAGCAATGCAGGTACTCTTCCATGGGTTGTATCAAGGAGGTACCTGATATGGGTCCCCAACACTGGTCTTGTTAGATTTTGATCACTTGAATGAAGCTGGTCCAGTTTCTCTACTGTAAATGTACCACTCTCTTTCCATCCCCTCTTGTAATGAGTAAATATCAATATCATGTGGGGAGATATATTGAGACTGTGTGACTATCCTGATGCCTGTCAAACTTTCACCACTGTTTGGGGCATTTATTGGTGATTGCCTCTGATGATTTTTTTAAAAATTGAGATACAATTTCCTTACATAAAATTATTACCATTTTAAAGTGTACAGTTCAGTGGCATTTAGTGCAACCACCACCTCTACCTAGTCTTATCACACTTTCATCAATCCTAAAGAAAACTTTGTCCCCAGCCATCACTCCTTATCTGTCCCTGGCAGCCATTAATGTGTTTCCATCTCCATGGATTTACCTTGTTCTGGAGGTTTCACATCTATGGAATCAAACAATGTGTGGTCTTTTATGTCTGACTTTTTTCACTGGGTATGTTTTAGAGGTTCATCCATATTGTAGCATGCATCAGTTCTTCATTCCTTTTTATGGCTGAGTAACATCCCGTTGGAGACGTAAGAAATGCGGGTTCCATCCCTGGGTTGGGAAGACCCCCTGGAGAAGGGAAAGGCAACCCACTCCAGTATTCTTGCCTGGAGGGTCCCATGGACGGAGGAGCCTGGTGGGCGATGGTCCAAAGGGTTGAGAAGAGTCGGACACGACTGAAGCGACTTAGCACGCAGGCACAACACCCCATTGAATGGCTACACCACGTTTTACTGGACCATTCATCTGTTTACCTGGGATTTTTTATAAGTACTTATTTTTGGCTGCGCTGAGTTTTCATTGCTGCGTGAGGGCTCTCTCTAGTTGTAGCAAGCGGGGGCTACTCTTCGTTGCGGTGTGCGGGCTTCTCCTTGTGGTGGCTTCTCTTGTTGCAGAGCATGCCCTCTAGGTGCCTGGGCTTCAGTAATTGCAGCAAATGGGCTCAGTAGTTGCAGCTCTTGGGCCTAGTTGCTCCATGGCATGTGGAATTTTCCCAGACCAGGGATCAAATGTATGTCCCCTGCCTTGGCAGGTGGGTTCCTATCCACTGTACCACTGTGGAAGTCCCCTTGGATGATATTAAAATACTGGAAGAGGAAGAGGTGGTGGAGGCAGAGAAGTACCATTAGAGAGAAAGAATGAAAAGCCAGGGGTGAAAGTTGAACAATAGACCAGGGTCCAACACAGGAGATGATCCCCAGCCCTGCTGAGGGTGGCAGAGAGTCGACCACCAGGGGACAGGAACTGAGGGTGTCCCAGCCTCTCAACTTATGAGTGCAACCTCCATCTGGGAGGAGAGCTATTCACACATCTTACGGGGTCAGCCCTCATGGGGATGGGTCTCTGCCCATCTTATGATGATTTGCTGGAGGCTTCCTAGAGGAAGAGCTGAGATTTGAACCCAGTGACTCCAGGCCACATGGAATGAGAGGGAGGAGTTGGGAGTGGGGGTAGGGGCTGGGCAGAGAAAAAGACAAAAGTTGCATAATCAGAAGGGGCACAGCTGACTCACCTTGAGGGTGCTGAGTCAAGGGGCCCATGGGGATGGGGGAAGGCGCAGCTTAAGTCCTTCTCATACTCGTCACCCCAGGAGGAAATCCCGGCCCCTCAGCCCTGGTTTCAGAGCCTTCAGATGCTCCCCAACCCCTCCTGTTCCCTTCATCATCACACTGAGTCACCCAGCAGGCTCCGCACTCTCACGGCCTCTGCTCAGGTTCTTCTTTCTGCCTGGGACATCCGGCTAGTTAGAAGGACCCTTTTGCTTTCTCCCCACACAGGAACTCCCAGCAGATGTGTTTTTTTAAAAATGCATTTCCTGGGGCTTCCCTGGTGGTCCAGTGGTTAAGAATCTGCCTTGCAATTCAGGGGACACCAGTTTGATCTCTGGTCCCGGAAGATTCTACATGCCACAGGGCAGCTAAGCCCATGTGCTGCAACTATTAAAGCTCTTGAGTCTGTGCTCCGAAACAAGAGAAGTCACCACAATGAGAAGTCCATGCATCATGATGGAGTAGTTCCCACTCGCTGTAACCACAGGAAGCCAGAACACAGTGATGAAGACCCAGCACAGCCAAAAATAAAGATAAATAAATGTATTTCCTGGGAGTTCACTGGTGGCCTAGGGCTTAGGATCCTAGGCTTTCACTTCTGTGGCCCTGGGTTCAGTCCCCGGTTAAGGAACTGAGATCCTACAAGCTGCACAGTGCAGCCAAAGTACATAAATAAATAAAATTTTTTAAATGCATTTCCTTCTAGCTATAGGGAATGCCGTACTATTTCCTGCACATGCCATGGCTTTGCGCGTGCAGCTCCCTCCTTCTAGCGTGCCTATCCACCTCCATCCTGTA